TGAAGGATTCACATGAACAACATTGTGGTTTCAATATTCACTCATATTACCAAGTCCTCACTACCTGCTTTGCAGTCACTGTCTATCAGCGTAATAAGATGCTATAGAGTCATTACTTGTCTCCTCCGTGCTGTACTGCCTTCCCCGTGACCTGCCTGTATTTTGATTGTGAATTATAATGCCCCTTAATCCTCTTCTCCCTCTCTCCCCATTGACCCTCCTCATCCCCTCCCCTTTGATAACCAACCGCTAGTCCCTTCTTGGAGTCAGTGAGTCTGTTGCTGTTTTGTTCCTTCAGTTTTCTTTGTTTTTATACTCCACAAATGAGTGAAATAATTTGGTACTTGTCTTTCTCCACCTGATTTATTTCACTTATTGTAATACCCTCTACCTCCATCCACATTACTGCCAATGGTAGGATTTCTTTTTTTCTTATGGCTGAATAATATTCCATTGTGTATATATATGTCACATCTTCTTTATCCATTCATCTATTGATGGACACTTAGGTTGCTTCCATATCTTGGCTATTGTTAAATAGTACAGCAATAAACAGGGATGCATATGTCTTTTTGAATCAGGGATCTTGTTTTCTTTCAGTAAATTCCAAGGAGTAGAATTACTGAGTCAAATGGTATTTCCACAATGGCTGAACTAATTTACATTCCCACCAGTAGTGTATGAGGGTTCCCCTTTCTCCACATCCTCGCCAGCATTTGTTATTTTTTGTCTCTTGGATGTTGTTCATCTAACAATATACTAATTGACCATATATGTGTGGTTTTATATCTGGACTCTCTATTCTGTTCCATTTGTCTGTGGGCTTGTTCTTGTGCCAGTACCAAATTGATTTGATTACTGTGGCTTTGCAATAGAGCTTGATGTTAGGTAGCATGATCCCCCATCTTTATTCTTGCTTCTCAGGGTTGCTTTGGCTATTCAGGGTCTTCTGTGGTTCCATATGAATTTTAGAACTATTTGTTCTAGTTTGTTAAAGAATGCTGTTGGTATTTTAATAGGGATTGCATTGACTCTGTAGGTTGCTTTAGGCAGGATGGCCATTTTGACAATATTAATTCTTGCTATCCATGAGCATGGGATGTATTTCCAGTTATTGGTATCATCTTTAATTTCTCTCATGAGTGTCTTGTAGTTTTCAGAGTACTGTGTACTCTTTTATACATGAACTCTTTTAGAGAAAAATTAAGTCAGAGTCTCTTCTCAACATCATGAAAGTGTATATTGGATGGATTAATGAGTTAAATGTAAACGTGAAAATATAATGACACTATAATGAAAAGAGATCAAGAATTTCTGAATAGATAGGAATACATATTTAAACATCTGATAAGAGCATTAAATGTGGATTTATAAAAGTCTTTAAATTTCTGTGTTGAAAAGTTATTCATTCTTCCAATACAGAATCAAAGGGAAATTACAAACTAAGAAAAAAAAATACTGTGTAGTTTTACTTTTCACAGCTTTTTTGAAATTAGATTTTTAGAAAACCACTTTCACTGATATACATGACATTTTCATTGCTATATATAACAATGTGTAGTCATGTCATTTTTAGTATTATTAGGTAAACTTAAAGTAAAACAAACCTTTCTTACTGTAAAGAGACTTTTTATGAGGTAATAAAAGTATATTTACAAATAAGATACATATAAAGTACAAGATTAAATTTTTTCCTAAAACATATTGTATATCTAAGTGAATTACTATTATCTTCATAAGAAAATATATCAGTTAAAATTTCAATTTTAGTTAGACAAGAGGTGAGTGGCTGGCTAAACTTGGTAGGATTTTACAATTGCCTTAACATTCCAGCTACAAAATTGGAATCTTTCTTTATTGTTTGGTATTATTAGTTATAGATGCAATAAGGTACTTAAGTATATAGTTAAGTAGTACTTAAAGATAATTCTCAAACTGCATTGAATTGTTCCCTACTTATATTTAGGGATATAAAAAAGAGTTTAGTCTCATTAGAGTTAAATTTCTCAATCGAAAATAGATGTGTATCATCTATGATTGTAAAGGTTCCTGAATAAAATAGTAGGATGTTCTTTTTCCTTTTTGGAGAATAAAAGTTTTCACATAGCCTTCTTACAGCTTTTCCTAGTGTCCATAGAAACTGAAGCTTAGAAAAATAATATGATGTATCCCTGTCAGTATCTAGTAAGTCAGGATCTGGTCTTTGGACCTGGTGCCTGTTCTGTCAACACACTAATCTCTGGGGACAGCCTGGTTCCCTGGCTTCATTTCTCGTTCATGGGTAATAAGTCTTTGCCTTTGCTTAGCAAACCCCGGAGTATAGCAATATGAGTTCACACTTGTGGTGGTAAAAACAGTTTTGAACTGTGATTTAGGAGATACAATTTTAAGGGCTGGCTTTAACTGTGATACTTCTTAGGCTCTTGATTTAAGGGACCCCAAAGTACAGAACAGTTTCTCTCTCAAGAGCTACTAAATATGTTTTTCTATGACTCCAATTAGACAATGCTTGTAAAGCTCTGAAAAATACGGCATGTGGCATACACATAAATGCTTTTATTTTAATGATAATATTAATCCTAACATCTCTACCTTACTTTCTAAATAAATATAAAATATGAACCATTTTTACCTTTTTGTATTTTTACTTTTGTATGCTTTTACTTTTGTTTTTTTTCTGTTTATTTCCAACACATTTAAAACTGTTTCACTGTTCTATTTTACTGTTTATCTAAATTGCATTCTAATGATAGTATTGTAAAAAAAAATGGCAAAATGACATGCATATTTAGAATCCTTTTTTATGAAAATTTCATAACTGGTAAGAACAGCTTACCTACTGTAATTATGTGTCAAAGTACTTTGCTAATATCTCTCTCTTTCTCTCTGGTTCTTCTAGAGGAGTCTTATTCAGATTTCTGTTGTAATATATATTCCTATTTTCTTAACTGATAAAATGTTCTGTGAAAACTATAAAAATAGTAATATGTAACTAAATACATAACTAGGTAGTTATTGCACAAAGTTTTATGGTCTCATATCACAAAAGTTTATCTTTACTGTTAAAGTCCATCTAAAATGTGTGACCATTAGAAATGTGGACTTGTGCCTATTTTAACAATCTTGTTATTTATAACTTCTTTAAAATAAATGCTGGTAGCATTATACTTTTTCATTCTATCCTTCATAGTATATTTACTTAAGTATTTAACATTTCATTTTGTAGAGCATATAATGTCTAATACCTATTTAATTTTTGCTTCCAACAACAATTTTTTCATAAACACTTCATGTTATCTGAGAATTATCAGACCCAGGAAAGTTAAATGATTTGCCTTACATAGTCATGATTAATAAGAAGCAGGTCCAAATTAAGAACTTAAGTTTTTCTTATCAACTACTCTTCCATTTCCATTGACTCTTACAGACCTACAGTTAATTCTTAGTTACTTGCATAAATGAAGGAGGAGAATTCAAAAGTTGGCTTTAGTTCATGTATTTTAATCTTCAAATATTAATATGGGTGTTTTGATAATTAAGAAAATTAACTGTACAAATTTACATGACTTTGAAGAATCAGTTTGAATAATACCTAATGCTTTCATAACACTTACTAATATGATCACACATTGTTCTAGGCATTTTATATATAATTAACATCCATAGTAGCTGTCTTAAAGATACTATTACTATTTGCATTTTACAAACTGAGGTACAGAAATGTTAAATGCTTTGCCCAGGGTCACATAGCAGGTAAGGGGGTTATTTGTTACCTTAAAATTAAACCAAAGTTACCTGGCTCCAGAATCCATGCTTTTAACCATTATATTTATTGTGACTCAGTCAAAAGCAATAGGGGAAGTTGTAATTTCAAAGAAGTTATGATAATAAATTAAAAGTAAGTTACCAGTGAGAAAATTTAGTATAAACTTCCCCGGTTTTAATTTTTAAATGATTTATAACTGTGTATCTTTCCCAAATTATGACCAATTTCAGTATTCATTTGCTGTGCATTCATTGGCTTTCCACTGTATGTTAGGTACTATGCTAACTTTTACGAGGATCATCTCATTTAGTTTGCAGTCATTCTGAGAGAAGTTTCTGGGATCACTAAAATACAAGTTCCAGTATGGCAGGAATCTGAACTGCTTTATCTCCAGTGCTTAGAACAGGGTCCAGGACATTGCAGGTGCTCAATAAATATTTTTAAACAGATGATTTGTATGATTCTCCTTAACAGAGAGGGACAATCAGGACTTAGGAAGTTTTAATACTTGTGCATGGCCATATGTATAAAGAGTGACAGAATCATGATGGAAGCCTGGATGTATCTGTTGTCACAGTCCATGCTCTATTATGGCATTGCCACTTATTCAGAATAATTTGGATAGTCTGATAAGCAGTGAGGAGGGCACTGGGAGTTTTTGAGAGGGGATTGGTGTGATAAATGCAGTTTTAGGAATGCAGTTGTGTCATGTAAATTAAAGGGTTGTGAATAGGGGAAAAGTCAGACCATTGCATCTGTCTAGTTGAGACTGTGAGGTTGGAATGACACAGTATCAGAGCAAAGAACACATGGGAGTAATATTTCAAAGGTAGAACTGACAGAATGTGTTGGCTTAATTTGGACAAAAATTGAGGAGGCGGGGGTTGGTGGGTGATCACTGGTTCGTGTTGAATTAGGTTCCTGGACTGAAAATAGATGGATAGAAATAGCGAAATCAGTAACTGAAATAGGGACATCAGGAAAGTGGTTTTTTTTTTTCCTTTACAGGCTTTTTATGATCAACTTGATTTTATTTATATTGAATTTAAGCAGCCAAGTAAGCAAGTAATGGAAGATGATACTACTAAACTTTGGGGGGCAAGATAGGGAAAATCTCCTGCAGATAGAAAAACTATCACTATTTTGTTTTTTAAGAATAATTGCTTCTTAATATTAAAATGGTATTGATTACAGTAGTTAATTAAGCAATTCTACCTTCTTCCTGCTAAAATAGCCAAACCATTGAGCATATTATTAAACTAGTGGAACAATTTGGCAGTGATGTCTGGTGGACCCTTCCCCCTGAGCAACTCCTTCCAAAAGAAGTCTTATCTCAGGTAAATTTATATTCGTATTTAACTGCCTTTGTGTGTATGATTTAATGATAACATGAGAGATTCTTGGGAATTAAAAGGTAGTTACATTATCGTGTGAAGTTTGTAAGTTTGTAAGAGTAGTTTGTGTTCAGCTGCAGAAGCTTGTATTTTGTAGAGCAGTACAGTGTGGGGCTTATTTGTTTACCTTAGTGAGGGCTAAGACTGACTTCGCCAGGTTTGGTTGACTAATAAGCAGGTGTAATTGTGGCTATGACAGAACAGTGCCCAGCTTGGGTACAGCAGGGCTTTGTAGGATATGAGCTAGAGTTTAACAGATTGCATCACACATTGAAAAGTCCAAATTGAAAGGTAACTTTAAGAAAATAAGAACAGTTTATATTTAAAAAATTTAATTTTTAATTTACTGAATTTTAATAAAATTTTAATTTAATTTATATTAGTAAATGTGTAATGAGTTGGCCACAGTAAATTTTATATGCAAATGAGGCAATTGCACTTTAATATGAAAAATTTTAAATCCCTTAAAAGTCATTTTAAAATATGAATTTAATGGTTCTGTTCTAAGTATTTAATTTTCTTAAGACTTTTTTAGGTGTTTATTGTATATGTTGTGATCTGTGTGTAACGGCAGTGTTCCCACGTCACCTTGCTAGGTCGGTGGTCCTGACGCTTTGGAGTATGAGCCGGGTCAGGATATCCTGGACATCTGGTTTGACAGTGGCACGTCGTGGTCTTGTGTTCTTCCAGGTAGTCTTAAATAATAGGTTATATGCCAATCTATCTGTTTTGGAAATATATAAATATTCCTGAGAAGAAACCTATGATCAAGAATTTTTTTTTTGGAAGCTCTTCTGCTAGTATTTTAGATCTGGGCCCTTGGATATTATTTAACCCAGTGATTTCTGAATGCTTTTTGTTTTCCCAAATGACATTTTACATAGAACCACAATACATAAAATAGATAAGAATGGGAGTTTTCTTCCTCTCCTTGACCCACGCACGTGGCAACCCCAGTGCACTCAGTTCTGTGAAATAAAGTTTGGAAAGTACTGAAATAATCTGATCCCCTCATTTATCAGAAGAAGTGAGATTGAATTAGAGCCAGATTAGTGGTGGTCACATAGCTCAGTGAGCACCAGACTGGAACTCAGGCACCTTGAGTTCAGTTCTCATTCTCTCATATTACATTGCCTGGCCATGCCTTCTCCCCGCTCCGTACAGACAGCTGACTGACTTTATACTCATTCATGTTTAGGGCACGTTTTTGACTCATTGGATAAAGAGAAAGGAGAGATGGGCAGGAATTAGGAGACAAATGCTCAAGCATGTATTTAGATGCTGAAGAAGGTAGTGAAAGGTAGAGATAAAATGAAGAATAAGGCTCATTGTCAAGGAGTTTAAAGACAGGGATGAATCAGGTGGCAGAAGGCAGTGGTGGGTCAGACCGTTCCTCACACTGCTGCAAAATGCCCGCTTGGGCCCAGGGGGTCCCCTTTGCTTTCTGGAGCAAGGGCGTGTGGGAAAGTAGTTTGTCTGCTAGTGGAATTGGAAGGGATGGTCCTCAAGTTTTACTTGAGCTGTTCTTCTGTTACAGCCTCACTACTGAGAGGGCAGCTGTATAATTCCTAATAGGTAAATAATTCCCTACATTTGGACCTTTCTTTTTAGCTTAGGAAATTTGAAAAGCAAAATAAAAATCCATGTAAATTCTTGTTTACTCTGTATGACAGCTAAAATGTGTATAATATGTCCAGGTCATAATTGGAGCCTTTGATGGGGTTAAGCTGCACGAGAACCGATTTGTGCTGCTGTTTGCGGTGCTGACGGTTCAGTCACCTTATTTCTAGTCTGTGATGATCTTAACCCATATTTGACTGCTGCAGAAATACTGGAATAAATGGAATTAGTGGTAAAAATGTACCTAAACAGTAAGTCATTCTCTCCTTCTCTATCATGTTTAGGTAATTAATTCAAAGAAAGACAATTTGTCATTTAAATATGTATATTGCATGCATAGGAGGCTGCCGGAACAGAAACAACCTCCCTTCACAGATAATACACAAATCCAGTTTTAGACTGGAGTTTCTGCTTTTTACTCAGATCTCATATTCTTCCTCCTCAAAAAAAAGTAAATAAAACAGCAAAAATCTTACAAGATCGATCAGTAAGAATTAGAGTAATTGACATATTTTATCCTATTTTCCTCCCTTTTATTCCTTTATGATAAAACTATTCCAAAAGATTGGCAGAAAGAATAGAGTGGGCAGGAGTCAAGATAACTAGAAGTGAATTCATAGTTTGAAAAGACATGAGTCAAAGGTAATTTTCCTTTAAAAAAAAAAAAAGTCACCTACTTTCTTGAGAAGCCTTATTGTACTTTTCATTCTCTAATGGTTTATATCAAGTCTAATATGAAATGATTCAACATCTACATATTTCTCTGAGAGTATGTTTTTGCAAAATCAGCTGGATTTTGAGCTTTGTTTTAGCTACCCGTCTGCATCATTATCTACTAACGTTTAACAAGATGAATTTGGTGGTTGTATAGCATACATAACTGGTTTTACTTCCTGCTGACAGATTTTATAGCAGTGAAAGAGATTTAACTTATGAATTTGACACAAGATCAGGTACCTGTTTCACTTGAGTTCAAGGTCAACAGAATTTAAGAAAATGAAACCTGAACACTTTCTGAAAGGGAATGGCATTTTAAAGTGAATCATATATAGGTAATAAGTCACACCCATACTTATACATTTTACCGGTGATGTTCAATTTTGATCACTTGGATAAGGTGCTGTCTGTACAGTTTCTTGTTTGTAAAGTTACTTCTCCCTCTCATCCCCTTATAGTAATTATAATTGGTTAGTATCTTGTAGGGAGATAATTTAAGGCTGGAAATAATACTGTTTTCTCACCAGAATTTCACCTAGTAGTTAAGGACCCCTGATTTCTGGACTGAAATGATTGTTATGATGTTTGCCAAATGGCCCCTTATCTCAGATTATTATTGACTAATTTGAATTAATTGTTGCTAACTGTTGAATGCTAACTAAATATTATGTCGTAACAAATTTGAGGCTAAAGTACTATATGGTAATTTTCTCTCCATGTCTTTTTTAAAAAAATAATTCACTTTTTTTAGAGCAGTTTTAGGTTCACAGCAACAATAAGAGAAAGGTACACAGAGTTCCCAAGTGCCTCCTGTCCCTACACAGGGATAGCCTTCCCTGTTATCAACATCCCCCACCGGAGTGGACTGGTGAGGGACCTCCACGGACACATATGATGCCCCGAAGCTCAGAATTTACATTAGGATTCGCTCTTGGTGCTGTGCATTCTATGGGCTGGACAAATACGACTTGTATCCATTGTTACAGCATTCGACTGAGTACTTCCACTGATCAAAAAAATCCTCTGTGCTCCACCCGTTCACCCTTCCTCCCCACTCCCTCACCTTATGCCCTGACCCCTGGCTCCTGTGGCTTTTTATAGTTTGCCTATCTTTTGGCTAGGCCATCATCAAATCAGGAGTTAATAATTTATATAAAAGGCATTCCTTTTTTCTGATTTAATTTCCTGGTTAAGCACACATCCTCTGGTGCCAGATTGTCTAAGTTCAGAAGCTGTCCGTACTGCTCACTACCTGCGTGACCCTGGACAAGTTATAAAACCTCTCAGGGCCTCACTTGCCTCATCTGTAAAATGGAGATGATGATAACAATACCTTACAGAGTTAGGATGAGAATAAGATGAATTAACATAAGGTAGCTGATGCTCAACAGGTATTTGTTGAATTAATAAAAATTTTATATTCCTGAAAGATTTAGTAAGAAATACTGGTAGTGGTAATTATTTTGAATAAGTCCCTAATTTAGCTAGTGTTTTAATTATCCATGGTTTGGGAGATGCTACTCCAAGGTTTATTTTCTTCATCTTTATTACTAAATGTAGGTAGGCATTGAGGGTAATAGCTCCAGTGCATGCAATCTAGCTATTGGGTATAGTATTACACAAGAAATAAATAACAGTACTTTTCTTGTTTTAACACTTTGATCGATACATATTCATTTTCATTTTCGTCTTTTAATTAGATTTCTGTATATTTTAATATTTTTTTTCAAGGTACTGATCAAAGAGCAGACTTGTACTTGGAAGGAAAAGACCAGCTTGGTGGCTGGTTCCAGTCCTCTTTACTAACGAGTGTGGCAGCAAAGCAGAGGGCCCCTTTTAGGTAGGTGTCACCCCTGGGCCAAACAAGCCGCGCTTTGAGTGCTTCTGCTGGGCACTTGCCAGTGTGCGAAGCTCTGTGCTGAGTAGTATTTATATAATAAAATGCCACCTTTAATTAGCTTATGGTCTCCAAACTATAGAGAATTAAGAGTTTGAAATATTAAAAAAAAAAAAATAGAGAAGTCTTGCCACTGATAGAGATTCCTAACTCCAGAAGTGAAGCCATCATTGACTGCAGTAGTGGGGAACTTGAGAGAGCTAGATTGTGAAAAATGGTAAGACTTGATGTGGAGGGGTGTAGAGAAGGATGATCTATGTTGATTGAAGACAGCCGAGCTCAAATATCCTTATATTTATAATATCCCCAAGTGGCTAATGAACTGAAATATTCTTTAGTGACTTTTATTAATTAGAGATTCTTATTAAGTTACAGATAATTGCTTTTCCTTATACAAATGTGTGGATACAAATTCTAATCAGAAAGATTCTTAAGCTTAAGATATTTCTTATCTTACATTGAAAACCCATTCCACAATTTACATGTTGATGTTTCTCTTGTGTAACATGCTTTTAAAAGCCAATAGAACAGCAGATATATTTCTCTCAAATTGTCTTTTTGAAGATAATTTTGAGGTGATAATCTGCTCTTTTTAAGGCATGCTTTTTCCTGGCTAGTTTTTAATGATCAAAATCCATATATAAAATGCTCAGGAAATTCTTGAGTGAGTAAACATCAGAAATTTTTCAGTGTATTAGTAGAGAGCTTTCTATTTAACAGTCATGATAAATAAGCTGTTGAAAATTAGACTTTCAAGAACAGCTTTCATATGTAATCTGTTGAGAAAAATCCTATTTTTGTGTCAAACTAAGTCTTTATAAGTCATCTTCAAAAAGATCATTATGTTTTGTTATAACTGATTCGTTTTCTTGTTTGTTTGTTTGTTTGTTTTCTTAGGACAGTGGTGGTTCATGGATTTACTCTCGGAGAAAAGGGAGAGAAGATGTCCAAGTCTCTTGGCAATGTCATTGACCCTGATGTTGTCATTAATGGAGGACAAGTAGGTGGTTCTCTAAAAATTCTTTTTATTTTTGCTTTAAATCTCTTAATTTGGCAGCCAAAACCATCAATCTACTTACTTCAATATAAAAAATGTATATATATAGTAATAGTGCACACCTTATCATGTTTTACTTCTAGGCTCTTAAATAATACATGATTTTAATGAAAAAATGTAGGGTTGGGATTGTGACCCTTTTGACTCATACCTGGTCTGAATCTCCAGTTAGGTCTTGAAACATGCTATCCATTCTTTTATGGCCTGACCTTTAAAAATTCGTAAACCCTAATTCTACAGTTAAATGGCAACAGTAGAAGAAAAAAATGAGATTGCAACTTCTGAATGCACATTTCAGTTTTCTTGGAAATGATACCCTTTAAAACAAGTCATTACTGAGCATCAAATCTGAGGTTGCTGATAATTTGGTTTATCTCAGAGTTGCTTTCAGAGAAGAAATCACTTGTCTGTTATTTTACTGCTTTGGCTTAGTGCCCTCCCAGAGTCCTGTAATCTTTGCCCTGTGCACAGAGCTGCTTCAGAATATTGAAATGGAGCAGCAGCCCTTTCCTTCCCCTCCCTGTCACAGAGACAACAGGGCGCTGCTCTGTGTCTGGCACCGGCTCTGATGGATAGAGGTGTGCAGACACGACCAGGGAGGACGTTAGTTGTCGGCCCCTGCACACGAATGGAGATCTCAGAGCAAGCTCCTCTTTTTGCCACCATTGTTTGTTAGATGCAGCCTGATTCCTGAGATTGTTAGCCTTATTTCATTACAATGCAAGTATATTTTATGCTCACATTGTGCTCAAACATTTCTGAGTAGGAATATCTAAAACGTGAGTTCACCTCGTTAGAATTGAAAGCCACTTAAATGTTTATGTTTCTTTCCCCCAAATGAAAAGGATCAAAGCAAAGAGCCCCCCTATGGTGCAGATGTCCTTCGCTGGTGGGTAGCTGAGTCCAATGTCTTCACTGAAGTGACAATTAGTCCATCTGTACTTAACGCTGCCAGAGATGATATTAGCAAGGTCAGAGTCATTATTTTTCCTATTTCTGAATGAAACGTTTACTAAATCACTGTTTAAAGAATGAAGGACATTTTGTTTGGTATTACAAAACTGAATGAAAATGAATTCTCCACATGTGAGCATTTAATAATATCCTGTTAATTTGTTTAAAAATAGTATAATACTAGTAATTTTACATATTTTTTATATTTTATTATAATATAGGGTAATATATGAAATTATAGGAATTTTAACATTTTTATGTGCTCAGTGACTATTCATATTTATTCCAGTTATTTTTACCAATGCAGATGAACAGACTGGGCCAGTGAAAAGTGATTTGTCTTTGTTATAAAGAAATATAATAAAAATTCACTCTTTATGTGTAAAGTCCAGTGGCAGTTCCTATAACTGGGTTATGAAAATGAGAGTTTGTTTCTTACACAGTCTTACTAAGGAGTGATAATTAAAAAGTATCCCATTAAGAAAGTATCACGAGTTGGATAAAAATTACAGAAAAATAACTTAAGAAGCCTCATAAGTATTTTTTTACTGTATATTTTTTCTCACTATTAATAGCTTAGGAATACACTCCGCTTTCTTTTGGGAAATGTGGCTGGCTTCAACCCAGAAACGGATTCCATTCCTGTTAACAATATGTATGTCATAGACCAATATATGCTACACTTACTGCAGGATTTAGCAAGCAAGGTAAGTGTGAACTGATAAGCTTTTGGGAAATAGAAATATCAGCACTGTTGTGTGTTGAAATTTGAGTTCAGATTGAGGAGTTGCATGTGAGTAGAACACATGTTGCTAGAAATAATAACTGTAACACTGAGAGAGGTTATACTCGATAAATTCCACACCTTCCTAGGTTGACCTTAGGTATGAAGTCTTTGGTACGATTTCTCTCCTAGTTTCTCAAAAGATTAGATAGAGAAGTGCCTGGTGGAATTGATAGGCCCAGGCTTCCCCTCAGACCATATTGTTCTCTCAAGATCAGCTCTTTATATTTCTCTGGCAGGAAAGAATAGAGTTGTACTTTTTTTGTCTACAGATGTACTCCTCACAGTATAGAAATAAATGACTATTCCTGTGTGTCTTATATATAATATAAGTGTGTGTCCTCAGTTATATATAAATAAAATAATTTGTGCTTTCTCAAAAATTGGAAATGTGGTTGATCCCATGTAACCTTAAGTCAAAGGCGTATATGCAGATTTTTCCCCAGTTTTAACTTTTTAGGCATAAACAAGGGAACATGGGTAATGTACACTTTCTGCTTTTTAAAAATGCTGTGGTTCTCAATCTTTTCCTTTGATGAGCGTTCTTTTGTAGTTTCTAGAGTAGATGAGTCAGTATTTTCTGAGGACAAATTTGACACAAGAAGTGACATTTGGAAGCTCCTCAAGTGCTCTTGCAATATTGTCTGTTTTGTATTTATCTGTCTTTCAATCATATTTTGAAAAGGAACACATTTTATATTTTGCTGATGACAACTTGCATTTTCATTTGCTTATTCCAGCTTCCAAACTTATTTTGGCTTTGTTCCCCAGATTACCAGTTCATATAAACAATATGATTTTGGAAAAGTTGTTCGGCTGTTACGAGCATTTTATACCAGAGAACTCTCTAACTTTTATTTCAGCATAATCAAAGATAGGTATGTATGACTGAATGTTAAAATAGAAATATTTCTGTGTGTCTGCCGTGCTGGGCCAAGGGCCGGGCACACAGTGGTGAGTGTGATGGGTAGAATCGCCAGGTTGAGAAGTTGGGTTCTGGAGTCGTTGGTTATGGATTTTTGGCCTGTCGCTTATGAGCTTGACGATTCAGGGCAATTAATCTATCCTGTAATCTCAGTTTTTTTATCTGTAAAATGGTGATTTTACCTAGCTCATAATGTGGTATGAAAAAGAGATAATATATGTTCTTAGTGTTGTTTGATACAGTAAGTGCTCAATAAGTATTAGCTGCCAACATGAGGTAATGAATATAGAACTTGTTCTCAGGAGTTTGCACAGCTTGATGGGGGTGGAGAGAACAATTGAGGCAATTCGTAGTGACACTGTATGATACAGTAACGTCCTTTCAGGGGAAGGCTGAGCACTAAGTCTTCACTTGCTGCCCCAGTGTGCGGGTGACAGTGTTACTTTCATAGTTACTTGGCCAGTGTGATGTCAGCCCCAACCGGTCATCTCCTCTAGGACCTTCCATGTAGGGATTTAACTTCCCATCCTTCCCTTCACACACTGATAGGATTATGTTGGTGGGGACTCACATTTTAAATACCGCCCGCTAACTTACCCCTCACCTTTTGCACGGTAGACTCTAAGCTATTTGGAAAACAAGTGGGCATAGTGTAGCTGCTGAGAGTTGTGTGAAGAGGCGGGCACAGGAATAAAGTGGAGTAGAGGATATCATTACAAAATGTATGATAGAATACCTTATTTTTTAATTGGAAGATTGTCAGAGCACTGTAAGAATAAACTCACCCTGAGGTAGAGCCTGCCTTGGCAGTGATTAGGTGTAAGAGTGTCAGCTGCTCAGTAAGTCGTTCTTGTCCAGGCTTTACTGTGAAGACGCAGACGGTCCCAAACGGCGCTCGTGCCAGACGGCGTTAGCTGAAGTTCTGGATGTGATAGTGCGTTCTCTGGCCCCCATCCTTCCTCACTTGGCCGAAGAGGTGTTCCAGCACATACCGTATATTAAAGGTAAGGACCACTTATTTCTCTAAATGAAAAGGATTCTGATGAGGGTGCGGCTCCTAAGTCTACCTACGTCATGTCAGGGCCACTCACTCTCCTACAATGGGTGCTTAGCAGTAGGATGTGTCCTAGTCATTTAGTATTTCCTGCCCCTGTTTGTAGAGGAGTCGGATGAATTCACAGTGGCCTTCACACCGCCTTGAAGTGCTTTCTGAAATGTATTAGCAGCCTGTGTTGCAAAATCACTTTTTCAAAAATACCTTAAATGTCAGAAATATATTTTAAGTTTTATTAAAACAGTGTAGTGCCTTTTAGTGAATACTTTTAAATTAGTTTTTTCCCTCTGATTGTGTTATAATTGCATTTTCCTCCCTATACTGTATTAAGAAAACTAGAAACTATGGAAGTTTACAAAGAGGAGGATACGTCACTTGCCACATTACTATTCCAAAGACAACCACTGTTCACACTGGGGTATTTCTTTGTTTTATTTTCTTCTAGGCATGTTTTTTTCCTTTGAGGCCTCACTATAATTTTATCCTCCCAAATGTTGATGTAAGTTTGATAAGCATGTAGGATGGCACCATAGTGTTTTCTATAAATGACAATTCTTATTTCCCTTGAATAGTAAATATTTAATGGTTAGAGCTTCATATTACAGTTAAGAATATATGTAAATTAGTTTACTTTTTCTTTTTTTATATTTTAAGAACCCAAGAGTGTGTTTCGTACTGGCTGGATTAAAACCAGTTCTATCTGGAAGAAGCCCGGGTTGGAGGAAGCGGTGGAGAGCGCGTGCGCCATGAGGGATTCGTTTCTCGGCAGCATCCCCGGCAGAAACGCCGCGGAGTACGAGGTCGTCATTGTGATAGAGCCTGGGCTCCTTTTTGAGATAATAGAGGTAAGCAGCAACTTTTCCCTTTTGAAATGGTGTTAGTATTATTCACTTACACTTGAAATCTGTGTAGTTTTTTTAATCTCTATGAATAAGATTTTTTTAGTTTAGAAGTGGGATTTCTGTCTTCTTATCCTAATTGTCACTGATCTTTTTGTTCTGCGTTTCTCCCAGCTTGCTTTCCATTCTCTTGGAACGTGTATTCTGTTGGCACTTGCCGTGTAAGTTGGGACAGGGAAGGTATGATAAAGTCCTATTTGAAAGGCAAACCTCAGGGTTATGTAAAAAGCCGGTCACATACAAACCTATGGCAGTAGTATTAGAATACACAAAGATTGGGAGTTTCGTATTAAGGGTCTGGTTTTCTGATAATTTGTCCATCTGGTTCAGGTTAAGAACAGATACAGAAAAGATTTCCATCTTTTTCTCCGGAGATCTGAAGAAAATTCATTTGCTTTAGCAAATTATCATGTGATCTCAAAGCACTCATCCAATTTGTATTTCTAAAAGGACCATCACAGTTTTCTTCATGGAATTCTTAGGCACTGATTGGCCAGATTGGCTTATAGCTTAACATTGATTCACAGTTTTTCTCTAGCTTTAGTGCTTGAGAAGAGAACTGGCAATGAATGTATTTTTTAAAAGCTTTACCAGTAGTATAGGTTTCTAAGAAATGACCGTCTCATTTGGTTGGTAAGCTCAATTTAATTAAGATTATAGGCTTGAAATAACTGGTAGGTATGAGATTGTTGATCAAGTAACAGAACTTCAATAAGATACTCATTCACCTTTTGAAATTTACAAGTTGGGAAGCTCTGACTCCTGCGTTTTATGGAGTAAAGGAATGAGTAAGGAAATGGGGGGGCAACTGAAGCTTTGACCCAGCTCAGGCTGTACTGCCCAGTACTGGGCTATTCCCCTTTGACTTCATTAGTTCTGAGAAATCAGCTGAAAAAAATACAGCTTGTTTGATCATTTGTATCAGAGAAAATACTTCAGGATTTTCAAAAATGTGCTTGTATTTGCCTTAGGAATTACACTAAGTAGCTGTTACATGGAATCTTGCACCAATTACTAATTACATGAATTTTTTGATACCAAATTACTCTCTTTGCATCTCCTGTTTTCTCATGAACTTTTTTTTCCCCCTAAAGGAATGTATTACTTAGCTCACAAGCTCATTTTACAATAAAAAATGTAAAAAGTGCTTCTCAGACATCTAGTGTACTATGATTATTCATTGCCACCACTGGTCTACATTGCATAAAGCAGGTCCTTGTTTAGATGTATCTTAATCCCTTTCCTAATGTAGGAAAGATGACATAGGAAAAAAAACGTCTGGGCTTTGGGGCTGACAGACATGGGCTGGAATTGTTCCACCGAGAGTGTTGGGCAAGTTAACTTCTCTAAGCATGCTTCATTTGTGAAATGGGCATAATGAACAAACGCCATGTAGGTGTCTTGTAATGATTAGAAATAATGGACATTTAGGAATTCTCTTGTCCCCACCTGGCGTGAGCTAAGAGCTCTGTCCTCTTGGTTTATCTCTAAATAAAAGCCTCTCACTTGCTCTATCTTGAGTGTTTGCAAAGTTCATTCTTCAACTCCGTGAACAAGAACCCCAGGATCATTTTTGGGGGCTCTTCCAGAATAACTTCAGAGATGGGAGCATCCTCTTCAAGTTTAAAGCCAGAAATGCCTCTTGCATGCATTCTGAAGAATTGGGAGCAGTTTGATCCCCAAACCCTGAAAACTAAGTATCTTAATCTTCTGTACACAAGCCTGGCCTCAATACAAACTCTGATTGGGGAGCCTTGGCCCCTGAGAGAAGTACACAATATAATAAGGTTATGCAGCTAAATTTATTTTGCCACAGGAAGGAAAATGGTCAAAAGTCCCATGATCTACTACAATATAAAACTGTTTTTCTAAATTCTTTTATTGAAAATCTGTTCTACTTACCGGGTTCATCATTATCCTCAAAAATTGGGAGGTTTTTGAACTAGACTCCCTAAAACAGGGAGTCTGCAATACACCCTGGCTTAAATCTTTCAAAAGAAAAAATGCTTAAAGAGAGGCTTGGCTTTATCATGTTTAGTGAAGGTTTTCTAAGTAATCTAGCATGGTTGTTAAAAACGAGTGAACTAAATACGTGTAGTAACTGAACTTCTTTGTTGCACGAATGTTGGGTTAAGAACATCCCACACCCTGCAAACTTCCCAAGCCTCCAACATCGATGGACTAGAAGTGTTTTTCATTGGTATGATCACCTAGCCTCCATTTTTATACCATCTCTTGGTTTAGAAGATGTAATTTGGCATATCAAATCCTTAACCAATTTTATTCAAAAGGCCTTAATACTAAAGTTAAACTAATGTGCCAAGCAGTTATACAAAATAGAATGGCGCTAGACATCTTATCAGCACAGGGTGGGACCTGTGCTATAATTAAAGTTGAGTATTGTGTGTACATTCCAGATTATTCACAAAATGTCTGTGATTCACTACAGGACCTCCAAAAGCTGGTCCAAGCTATGTCAGGCCCACAAGTCCCATGGACTACTACGACATGGAGCTGGTTTTCTAACTCCTTTTGAAGCCATAAAACTGCAAATGGTGATAGAAATGGAACCCAAAATAGAAGTGCCCATCTTCCAAGGCCCTCTCAACTGACTAGTGATGGAGACCTACTGCACCCTTTACTGCACCCCCTCTCAGCAAGAAGCAGCCAGAGTGGTCCTCACTCCTTTCCCTGGCAGTAGCTGGGCGCTCCATGTGTAGCGGTGGTAGTAAGACAGGGACTGTGGGCTTAGAGTAGGGTGAGGGCCTCTGGAAAAAATACAAAGCAAGATAATCCATTGTGGGATTTGCTCTGGCCTGCTGGGGGGCCCAGCTTGTTTTTCTGACTTTACGGGTGGCTGCTTTTCTTTCTTCAGCCCTAGTCATGTGTCTCCAGCCCTAGTCAAGTGATTTGCTACCTGGGCAATTTAACAAGCAAGCCCAAAACAAACAGGAAAGATTCTGTCTTAAAAATAAGATTGTATTTTAAAACCCAATTTGTTAAAAAGTAACTTTCTTAACATACCTTTAACAGACAGACAATAACTCAGCCCACCTTGGGAGCAAAGCAGGCAGTCTTGAGTGATATGCTCCCAGACCAGGAAGCTGCTATCCTGGGAGGAATCAGAGCAGTAAGTTTCTTGTAAATAACCAGGAAGACTAATAAAAAAACTTAATGTCTCTTCAAAGATGAACATTTTGGGACCACTTAGGTATACATCCCTAGCCCTTTGTCTCTCAACCTCCTATAAAGCTCCTAGACAACCCACCACCCCCAGGGCTCTGTCCTCTCCCTTTATCTCTAAATAAAAGCCTCTCACTTGGTCTCAAAAAAAATGAAAGAAAGAATGGACATTTAGCATCTAGCAAAGTGAAGTGTCTGGCATAGCGTATAATATTCTCAATAAATACAATTGATGGGAAGTTGTTAAAACCTTTCATATTAGTAAGAATTGATGTACTTAATAGTATTACCTCAGGAGGTAATGGTACTAAAAGGTTCCTCACTAAACAAGAATTTGCTGTGTCTATATTTATAGCCTCAGTTTATGGTAAAAATTTAGACACTAACTTCTCCATGCTTATTCAGATGCTGCAAGCTGAGGAGACTTCCAGCACCTCTCAGCTGAATGAGTTAATGATGGCTTCGCAGACGACTCTGCTGCCTCAGGAACCAAAGGCATTAACTGCAGATGTAATTGAACGTAAAGGGACATTCCTAATCAACTTAGAAGGTAAGGAGGAGGTGAGAGAAGCAAGTGGTATTGGGTGAACTGAGTAATTATAGGTCATTTCCAGCTTTCCAGGGGACTGCACAAATTCTACAAGCACATACATCTTTCTATGGAAACACATAAGTTCCTAAACCAACTCTCAAAAGTGTCTGACTTGGGAAGACAGGGCTAGGGAGAGGAGGAATTTTCCTTCCTGTCCTGTAAATGTCACTATATGTGAAACTGGTCGGCCTCATTCCTGGCTTCTGTGTCCCTCTTTTGACACTCAGCACCCTAGCACTGCCCAGCCCTGCCCGCCCTTGCCTAGTGTTGACTAAAATTTATTATGCACACCCAAGTTACAATGTAATTTAGCCATTCTTAATAAGGGGTTAGGAAAAAGTTTTACTGAACTCACTACAACATGGGTATCTCATAAGCAAGAGTTTTGTAGGTAACTGTTTGCAAGGATTTTTGTCAATCTAATTCATTCTTACTGATGGAAATGGAGGCAGGATAATGTTAACAGAGAATAATGAGGTATTTTGGAAAAAATGATGCTGCCTTTGTTTTTCCTAATAGCTTTTAGGTTCTAGTAGGAGGTGGGAGGCCAATTTATAGACATTATGTTTTAAGGCCTGGCAGCACTGACCATGTAGTAAAGATTCTGGCTTAATTTGCTTTTCAGAATGTTAAGGTGCGTTCTTTGTGGAGTCAATACTAAGAGCATTAATATTGGAGATGTTTTTGTTTCCTTTTGTCCAAGAACTTTTCAGTGGGGATACTGCAGTTTCACGTTGACTCTTTTTAAAGCTCTTATTAAATATGTAGCTGGAGAAGCAGTGCAGTTTATCAGAACTCTGCCTAGATTAAGAGCGAGAAGGCCCGCTCTGCTTGAGTAGATACAGAACTCAGTGACTTGGGGAAACATATCCTCAGCTCTCCTCAGCCGTCACATCGTGTGATTCCATTGTATTTGACTATGTCATGTGACATAGGGAGCAGTGTATCTGATAAGCTTTATCAAGGCAGGAAGCAGAAAGCTTTGAAAAAGGAGAATCTGTAAAACCAAGGAAGAAATCAAGAAGGATGCAAGTTGAATGGCCTGTCAGAAATACTCTTCATGTACTTTTCTTTCACAGGTGGTGATATTCGTGAAGAGTCTTCATATAAAGTTATTGTCATGCCAACTACAAAAGAAAAATGCCCTCGTTGTTGGAAGCATACAGCTGAGGCTTCAGAGACACTCTGTCCCCGGTGCATGGAAGTTGTTAGTAGGAAGTAGTCACTGTGGTGGTGACCATTCTCTGAGTAAGAACAGCCCTTACACACACACACACACTCACACTCACTCACTAACTCACTCCCCGAACCAAGAGCTTAGATGGATTGTTGACAACACTGGAAAGAAATCCAAGGTTTAGGGAATGAGTGGGCCAGCAAATGGTAGAAGGTGAGGGTCAAAGTCAGAATATTAATTCTTTGACTAAGATTGATAAAAAATGTGTGTATATATATATATATGTGGAAAAAATGTATTTGCAGGTGGATATAGATATATCCATAATGGACTTATTCTGAACTTAGTGCATATGCTTGCCTTGATATGTGGCTGAGCAGAAAATGTTTTATATTTTATAAATCTTTTTGACTCATATAAGTCCTATAATGTCTAAAAATAAAGGTCTCTGGAAAATTACTAGCTGATGTTGGTACGTAAGTTGTGACTATCAAGTTAAAAAAAATGTGGTTTTCAAGGGGAATGGCAGAGGTACCGAAAGGAGTAACTTCATTTTGCTTTACTAGCAAACAGTTTTCAGAACAACAACTAGTTCTTTGGGTTGCATTAGAAAGAAAAACATCACTAACTTTGTTATTCTCATACAAGAGGAAAACATATCTTAATACATTTTTGAATGTTGAAACAACATGAAAGCTGAAAATTTATTTCTTTAATATACATAAGTTCACAACAAGGAACAGACACAGAAAATGTAAGTATATACAGAATTTCACTACTTACATTACAATAGATAATATATAGAGCATTTTATAAACAATTCAGCATTGGATTAAAATCTTTCTAGGGAAGGCTGATCTCTTCAGCAGAAATCTAGCTTTTAGAAGCCCAACACATCCATTCCTACCAGGGTGAGAAAGGGCTTTCACTCTTGCTACCAAGTATTTTTAAAATATTTATATCTTAAAAGTGAAATGAACAACAGCAACTTCTAAGTGAATGTCAAATTCCATGTCGACTTACTATTATTAAATCTGGGTTTTCTATGATTTTAGATTACAATTACCATATTTTTTTTTTAAGAAAGCAAGTTAAATATAACAGTACTTACTCTAACCCTTAGATGAAGTTTTGTAACAGAGGTGAAATCCTCTTCTCTGTTTCTTTTTTTGCAAAATTATGAAACATTTAGAAGCTTGGTGCTATATTCCTCTTCATCTACATTTATCCTGGCTCTCCTAGTTCTATTACCGAAACACAACCTGCAGAAGTAACAATTATTTGAACACTTTTGTCCTTCAGCATTGTACAATGGAATTTACAAAATGCTTATTTAATGTCAAGAAAGGGTATGGAGTCTATCTAGGAAAACACTACTGGTTCTTGGCTTCCTATTAATAACTGCAACTTACATGTGTTTCAGAAACCACCCCCTACATAAAAGCTAATTCCTGTGTGGCTCTTCATTGTTACAGAACACACACACACACACACACACACACACACACACACACACACACGTATGTAGGAATTGACTTTCCTTTCTCTCTTGTCAGATTTTAAAAGCCCTTGATGAAACATAAAATACTGAACTGCTTTTCTTAACTGTATGTCTCAGAATTCAATTTAAAAATTCTATGAGTGGTAAATTTTTAGGATTATAAATCTAACTACAGACTTGATTTGTTATGGTTCTATGAACCATATTTCATCTTACTATTCTCAACAATCCCAATTTGATGATATGTTCTATCAGTAAATTGAACGGTTTATCATCTAAAATGCTTATTAGGTACCCCACCCCCAAAATGATAATGGAATCAAAATGAGGATTTAATATTTTTAAAAATATGTATAATTCCACGTTTCTTAGACCAGCCTCCAAAATTCATAACTACTTTCAGAGTATTTAGAAAAATCATAGAAAAACTAATCTTTTAAGATATATATAACAAGTGACTATATAAGCTAGCTGCATTTAGCAGAAATCATACCGACGTGTCTGGATGGTGCAGTGGTGATCCGAGCTGCTCTTCAAAGCTCCCACTGTACACGGTGTGCACCTCAGTCAGACTCACAGGCCCTCACCCCAAATACTCAAGACATCTTAAAATTTTATCTTTTGAGTTTTAAAATCAAACAGTAATTATTAAGTTTTAGGCAGTTAAGTTCTTACTTGGATGTGATCTTTTAGTTAAAATAATTTACTTTGGGGTATCCTCAAACAATAGACTTTTTTCTTTATATCCCTGATGGACATGTAACCCAGCTTTCTACAATTGTTAGAGTTGGCTTCTTACAAGGACGTGAAGAAACAAACTTCTCTATCCCAATGAGTTACTATGAATAACAGCTGTGACCCATGACAGATATCAGTAATTGCACTGTATGGCTACATTCCAAAGATAGACCACAATAAATACTTGGTATTTGTAGAGCTCAAAGCACTTTTTACAGAGTTTTGGTTAATTTGGTTTTGATCATCAAATAATTATTCAGCACTTGGACTGCTCTAGGCACTCGAGGGTATAAAATTAGTTTTATTTTAGCCTCTCAATCCAGCTGTGAGGTAGGTTTGCTAAAGCTGTAGTATCACTAAGCGCGTCCTGTATTAGTCTCAAGAACAGGTAATACTACCATATCCCAGAAGCAGATTTCTAAACACTTGTAGGAAAATAAAGTTGGATTTAAATTTTTAGCATCTTTGCCCTTTTTTTAAATGTAAGTTTTACAAGATAATACATTTTTACAATTACCTGATGTGGTTACAACTTTCAATCTTGGCCAAAAGCAAATCCTAATTTGCATATGATTTAATTTTGCTGTGTTGCTTGCATCTCAGAGCCTCAATTTTGGCAAATACAACAGGTTAAGGGTTCTGCTAGTATCCCTTCTGATGAATATGATGACCTCAAACCAGTACGCCTCCGCCGATGGCGACGGCGACACCTCTGGGCAAGCAACCTGTCGGCATCCGGAGCCCGAGGCGGTGGCCCGGCACGGGATTGTGCGGGGGAGTCGAAGCGCTCGCCCGACACGCAGTGTCGGACGCTTCTGTAGTTTTACTGATGAGTACTGTACACGAACATATTTAAGTTTCATTACAGTAATACTTTGAGTACGAAATATAGATTCCTAAAACCAATATTAAATAGTAAAATTTAACAATAAAACTACTTAAGTGCTTGGATTAGAAATAAACATAAAACATCCATATTAGTAATTAATAATGTAATTGACTTATATTTTATCTTCAGTATTAACCAAGAGAGTGGAATTTAGCCAGGAATGCACTTTTTAAAAGTAATATGTATATTTATTTTACAAAAAAAAAAATACTCTCTCCATAAAATTCTAGACCTAACTATGTAAAATAACCATGCACTAATTCATGTTATAGTCACAATTCTATGCGGTTTTCATCATGTCATAAAGAAGGAATAGGTATGGCTTCCACAGCTTCAATGAGGTGTAAGGCTAAACTATACTGTCCATGGTTTTCTGGTAAAAGCTCAATTACTTTATTTACTAGTTTAGCTGTTGTTGCAATTGGCACTTCTCTGTTTTGAAGATCTTGGGGGTCCTACAAATAGGACACAAAAATAACCCATTAGTTTTACACAACTAAACAATAATTTCTTAATTTGAGTTATCAGGATAGTTATTTCCCAATAAAAATGCACTGAACTTTAACTTACTTAACTATTAATAAATATGCACAGAAAACATTAAGTGGCCTTGGGATTTATCCCCTTCTTTTGTACTTACCATGGCTTTCAGCCAAGTACAGAGGGTGGGCGGCAGTCTGGCGAGCAGCTCCATCCCTTCCTTCGTCTGGGTGTGGAGGAGCGCCTGGGCCAGCCTCTGCCCTGTCAGCACCAGCAGCTGAGAGGCCAGGACCTCTTTGTCATGAACCTGGAGGATGGCCTGCGGAGGTGAACGGGGACAAATACAGAGTAAAAGCCAACAGATTAACCACGGTAGGAAAGCCATTGCAAGTGAAGAGACTGGCTCATCTCTGAGCTGCGGCCGTGGGCGCGGCCACCACTCCCAGGGTGACGATGATTACCTCTTCCCCCAGGTGGTCAGCTCCGTGGCTGTAGAGCTCCCCAACGTAATGCCTTCTAACAACATCTTCACTGACTTGAAGGTGATGGGCCAGATCCACTGCCAGCACTGGCCAATCTTGGTCTTTCCCAAAAGGAGTGGTCAGTGCCTCTTCTGAGGAATCTTTGTCCTTTGTGATTGAATGTTGGGCTTGGACAGCTGCACTGACAACTTTCAGTAAAAACTTGGAAATGGAGAAAGAGATACGGCAACACCTTACTATGTGTCATAAAAAAATACCTAACGGTGATTTTTGGCTTCTCTGTCAAATGAAGTGGACTTTCCATTAAAATTATTTAATTGCCAAAAAAGAACACATAATTTAAATGGAAACTGGCTCCCAAAAATACCTTGGAAGTGGTCATCCTTTAAAGGCCAGCTAGATTTTTGCTTTTCTTTCAAAGAAACAAAGCCGATATCCAATAACTGATTTACCTGTTGTCGTACAGAAATAAAATTTGGATCCATTTCCCCACTAGGTAATAACTGAATTGAAGTTAGGTCTTTGAAAAATGCATTTTTCCCCTAAAGAAAAAGAAAAGACCAAGACAACTGATAAATACAGATTATTATTAAGGGGGAGGGGAAGAAAGATGTAAAAAACTTAGGTCATTTAATCAACCATGAATTATTTTGTCTCCTTGAACAATAACACTTCAGAATTGTATTCATTTAATCTTTATAACAATTGTCTAGTATGTGGTAGGCAGTCTTTAAGGCGGTCCCAGTGACCCCCTCCTGCTAGTGTTCAGGTTTTGTGTGAGCCCCTTGCCTGAACGTGGGCCCATGATGCTCCGCTAGCAAAGGGAATCGGGCAGAGGTGACAGCCTGGCACTCTGAAGGCTGGGTTACAGAAGGACTGTGGCTTCTGCCCTGGCTCAAGTTCACTCCCTCACTCCGAGGGCAGCCAGCTGCCAGTGGTGTAAACAAGCCTACGGAGAGATGCCCTCGGTAAGGACCTGAATCCTGCCGGCAATCCTGTGAGCTTGGAAGTGGATCCCCAAGGCCCCACCCCAGGTATCTTGAAATGAGACTGCAGCTCTGGCAGACTTCTAGGGCAACCCACTGCCTTTTGGACATCACCATTTGAAAGTGTTTACCCACACTCACGCATGACCTGTTACTCTCTAGCTCCTAACTGGTGGTCTCGGATATAAGGGTCTATTCTACATGAGGGCCTCTGGGGTCGGGAGTATGTGTGCACATCTGTAATGGTACCGTTTATTGTTTACTGTGTTCTGGTATTGCCGAGCACTTCACATTGAGTATGTAATTTAACCATCACAGCAACCATGAGGTAGGTGCTAGATTCATCAGCTTTGAATGAGAAACCTGAGGCTAGGAGAAACTAAGTAGCATTAGCTAGTAAACAGCAGAGCTGGGACTCGGTCTCACTAGCCAAACCACACTGCCTCTGTATCTGCACGTGAGTCACACAGCTGTCTCGGGTCGTCTCCCCATGATACGGGTTGAGGCTCATATCACCACTTGGCTTGTCCAATTCTGTTTTCACAAACTCCCTTTTTGCGGGGAGTACTGAGCTATGTAAACAAAAACAAAACACTTTTTGGAGCACTCTTTTTACCATCTCAAATGAAAGGTATAATAATTCATTCAAAGTCTATGTTTATAAATACAAACATTCATGAGACTTCTAGTCTACCTTTCAAAATTAAATTACTGGGATCTAAATGCTAAAGTAAATTTCTTAAAACATACATTACTTCTGCTTACAACTACCCTCAAACTCAACATGTCCAAAATCATTCTAAATATGGACTTCCTTGTAAACAGCATGCCCAGTCTCCCAAGCTTAAAGCTGGATTTAATTTTAACCCCTTCCATCTCCTTCAGCACTACACCGGATCTGTCATTAGGTTACTGATTCCCCCAAATCCCTTCATTTCTTACGTCTCCACAGTCCACAGCCTCACCAACTCCTGACTTGTGGTGGTTTCCCAAACTACACACTGCTGTCCCATCTCTTCTGCATACTGCTGTCATGTAACTTTTCCTTAATATCTCCTTAATTATAAATGCATTAAACACTTACAGGGCTCCTGTTAGGTGCCAGGTATGGCACACAGGGAAACAGTGAAGAGGTGATAAGTTCAGGGAATGTGGGCACAGATTTCAAAGAGAAGGTGACACTTAAGTGAAAAATGAATTAACAAATAGGAGTTGGCTATACAAAATAGCTGTCTGAAAATGGAATACAAGCAAGACTAGAAATGATAAAAATACCTGGCTTCTTGGAGGGAGGGAGGGTAGTTAACAGAGGCTATTCCACAGTGTGTGTGAGGAATGGACAGTAAGGCAAGAGAGGTACCTGACGGCCGGGAAGGTGCCTCCTTCCTCTGGCTTCTTGTGTTTATGTGGCAGGGCTTCTGTTAGAATGATATGCCGGGCCTCCTGCTCCATCCCCCTCACTGCTCCCCAGGATGGACTGGTGGACTTGGGAGGAGGAGCCGAGCACTCTCAACAGTACCTCACTTGCTCTCTTCAGGAAGGCAGTCTGTCTGTCTGTCCGTGGGAGCACACACTCTCTGACCCTGCAGGGCCCGGCACCTGAGGAGAAGCCTGCAGGGGCCCGGCTAGGCCTTGGCTCTGCGGGTCTCGCATAAGGGACAGTAATAGGCCCACTTTCCCAAGAGCCTCAGCTGTCTTCTCCAGCTTAGTGTCTACCAGTAAAAAACTGAGTAACAGAGCTGCCCAGCTGTCTGACTTTCAGTGTCAACCTCTGTCTGTCTGAGTCCTCTGTCTCGTTTGGCCCCTGAGTGGGGAAGAAATGGGTTTTATGAATTGGCATGGAACTAGTGTGGTTAAATCTGGGTTCTGGGAAGAAAACTGCAGCATGGGGTTGGGTGGAAAGAAACCGGAGGCTGTTGTAATAGCAAAGGGAAAGATGGTGGGCCCAGAACGAGGGTGACAGTGAGGGACAGGGGTGGACGGGCGTGCTTTAAGAATTTATGAGAACAAATGTATAATGAATGCAGGATTGAAGAAGGGAACTGAGCTAGAGAACTTCAGAGTTCCCAGTCTGTGTCCTGCGCAAGTGATGACATCACGCAACAGACTTAGCGAGGAGGAACCGCAGATGTAGGTCAAAGGGAGTGTGGGTGAAGGTCTGAAGGTAGCTTCTAGGTATGAGGTGTCTGAGGTCCCAGAGCACACTCCAATCCATGACTCAGACTCTGAGGAAAGGCCAGGCCTGGTAATACAAGAAGAGGGAGAAAATGTGTGCATTCAAGAAGAACCCGCAGAATGAGAAGGGCAGACAGCTGAGAGCGCGAGGCCACGGGGCACCAATATGTAAGGTGAATCAGAAGAACAGAGTATCGGGTGGGGAATCAGGAGCAGAGGGCCCCGCAATGAATAATCCTGTACAAGTCACAAAAGTACTGAACAACCCCTACTAATAAGACGGGTCCACTTAATGTTCTGCCTGCTAAACCCTCAGCTCCACAATGGCTCTGAAATCCTCAGAGGTGCTCACCTTACTGTCAAAAAGTGAAAGCGGCTTCACAGTCTTCAGAGAAAACCTCATGACCGCATATAAGATGGAGCACAGGACCGAATGGTGCTCCACCAGCGGGTAGTGGATGTGCTTCTGTTCCAGGGCCAGCTCCACTATGGAGATTGGTCCTTCCACAGCAAGCCAAGCATCCTCAGTGTCCAGGACGGGCACTTGCATCTCATCCCTGCTAACATCTGCCTACATTTAGAGAACAAAGAACACGTTCACAATTGGAAAAATATCTTGCAAATATCTTAATGAGCTCACCAGCAGCAAAGAGCAGACCCATATTTCTCTCTGCTCCCCAAATAAAAAAAATAAAATTTACTTCTAATAAACATTTTTTAAGGCTTAAGTCAAAACTTAGAAATGAATAAATGATAAAAAAAATCTCTTTCTATAGTTCCCTTCTTCAGTCCACTGATTTTCAAAATATTTAGTATCTTAGGGACAGTTCAGATGAAAAAACATCTCTTTTACCTCCATTAAAGTCTGAAGAAGATCCAAGCAGGAGCCAAGGAAAGATGTCATTGCTGTATCACTCATCCCCACATCCTGTTTTTATAAAAAAACATAATAGTTTCTATCAAAAACAACAACAACAACAACACACCTATTTACTGACTTTCTACACTGACTGGACAGCAAGAATTTGAAAGTCAAGGCATTAGCACATTTGAATTCCTTTCTTTAGATTCAAGCGATTTTAAAAGTAGACTTAAAAAAAGATGGTACTAGTATCACTTTTAAAAATCAGTGTTCTTTGCTCATGGTGACGACACAGTGTCATCCAGTGTCACAGATGGAGGCATTCCTGCTCATCGCCAAGCTCGCTGGCATATCTGACAGCCAAATAATCGCAGTTTGTGGTGAGCTGTACACATCAGGGTCCCACCTGAAGAGTTCTAAGAAAACATCCTGGTCTGGTTTCAGAGCATCTTTTGGGGACTGAACTGAACCCTCGGAACAAAATTAGAATCCCCCAGCCTATGAACTAAGTACCAGACTCATGCTGTGGTCAACAGCTCATTTCTGCTGACCTCTTTGCGAAGCCTGTCCAACGGGCCACTGCATCACATACCATCTTTTTTAAACCAGTAACCAACAAATTCCTCACATCCCTAAGTATGTGTGTGTGTGAACGTGTATGTAACTGCGGTCACAGAGCCACTCTCAAGAGCATACCAGAAGAATTCTTCAACAATGGCGAAGACCAAGGGCTTCTAACAGCTGGACTCATGTGTCCAATATTTTGTAAGCTCTCTCTAATAAGAGTATTTCGAAGTCTCAAGGAAAAGCTAACAGTATGAGTTACTGGCCTCAAGTACAAGTCCGAGTATTTGTGGACTGGAATATCATTTAAGACTATTTGTACAAAGGTCATTAAATAAAGGTGGCTCACATTACTACCATATGAATCTACTTCAGTTTGAGGCTGGAGGCTTCCATTATGGATTTTTGACTTGACTGAGAGCAAACATGCACAGCAATGGCAGCATGTGACCCTGTTCAGTCCAAAGTTGAAGACATCTTATGAAAACTTAGGACATCTACCTGACCATCTGTAAAGGTAAATTAAAATTGGTCATAGTTCATGACTAGTTTCCTTAATTGAGTGTTCTTCTTCCATTTTTCTTATCTTCTGATACGTCATCAAAAGGTTACAGGGCAAAGTTCACCCCTGCAGTTAATCAGGTAGCACCTAAACTGCAGGACTAACAGCTCTACAACTAGTTGAAGGGGATTCACTTACCCTTCGGCATAACCTATCCTTTGGCGATTTTCCAACCTAAGACAAAAAGACACAAAATGCTGTGATTATTTGATAATTTAAATAAAAAGATACCAGTATGTACAGGAAGTTAAAAAGTCACCAAATTTTAAAAATAGACAAATGCAGCTATAAATAAGTGTGGCGGCCTTTCATCAATTAATGTTGGCTCCACTCATTTATAACACAATGTGATTAATTTTGTGGTGGAACTTAAAAAAATATATATATATATCATGAAAAATGTATCACACTGGACTCTATAGCATATTATTACCCTGATGGACACTGACTGCAATGGGGTGGGGGGGGGACTTGATATTGTGGGTGAATGTAGTAACCACAATGTTGCCCATGTGAAATATTCATAAGATTGTGTATCAATGATACCTTAAAAAATGGATCACACAATTGGGGATCAACAGAGGTGAGGCTTAGAACCCCACTCCCCCCTATTTTGAGAGAAATCTTCTGCATCCGTGGATGTTTTGTTGTCCTTGTCTAGCTTGGATTAACACTTAGTCTACAGGCACACACCTGATCGTCTACATTTGCCTTCTTACAGCACTAAACTATGTTTTCTACCTTTATCTTGCATCTACCTACCACTTCAGCATTTTATTAAAAAAAATAATAATAATAAGAGAGATGTGAGATTCACATATAAATCAAGTATAAAAATCAAATGAATATTCATATTTGACCTGATTGTTTTTAGTTCATAATGCGTTATCAAAACCGAAAGTTTCTGTGATGACTGCCCTTGCACTGTTCACCATGTAAGAACTTATTCACTATGTAAGAACTTGTTCACCATGTAAGAACTTGTTCGTTATGCTTCAGAAGATTGGAGACTGTTGAGAACTAGGCTTGGGGTGGATTAATGATTGTGCATTGAGTCCCCTATACAGAATTTTATTGTTGTTAACAACCATTTGATCAATAAATATGAGAGATGCCCTCTCAAAAAAAAAATGCATCACACTGGCTCACAATAATTCTTTTCAAAAATAAATATTTTTGAACTATTAAATAAAAACTAAAATTCTGGTTCTCACTTTGTATAATCAAATCACTATTCCTTAAAACCTAGAACCAAACTCAAGGCCAAGAATAAAGAACAGCTAATAATTGTGCTTGTTGATAAAGATACAAAATTATCTTAAATGGTCAGAAAGGAGGAGAAACAATCCACAGCAGACAGAAGTTACATTCCTAGCTCAGAAAATCTTATTTCCTCAATTTAGTAAGTATCTAACAAGATTCTACTGTATACTTTATATGGGGTAACAAATAAGTGGGAGGTTTTCCTTTTAGGAACATTACTCAGTAAGACAAGAACTCACAGGAGACAGTGACAACGGAAGAAGGAACATCAGCACAAAGGACCCTTCACCTCAGTGCCACCAGCGGAGGTCGCTGCAATGGCCTCGGACAACCAAGCTCAGCCCCTTCCCAATTCCGATATATTTTCCCGTTGCCAGAATCATCTTTCAAAATGAAAATCCAAACCTATCTGTCCCTCTGCTTAAAACTGCCACAATGCCTCTGAGATAAAATTACAGCTACCATTCACTGAGCCCTTACCATACATGCCAGGTCCTCTGCTAAGCAGTTTACACGTATTATTACGAAACCCCAAACCCACAGCCCACACAGGTGAGTCTCCATGCCCTGCCCCACGGTGCAGCCTGTGCTTCAACCACACAGCTCTACTTGCAGCTCCCTGAGTCTAACACTCGTCTCCGTTTCCAGGACTTTCTCCTAGAACACTCTTTCTTGTCACTCACTTTTTACTGGTTCAGACACACTCACCCTCCAAATTCAGCTCAGAAGCCTTCCCCATGTCTTACTTCTGCTGAGTTCCAGAGGTGCCCTGCTGTCATTTAGTAGTTTCTAGACTGTCAGTTCTTTGAGGGCCAAACCTGTGACTTTTCTCTCAGCAACCACAGAACCTAGCAAAGTCCTGGCATGTGAGATACTTTTTATAATAAATATTTATTGAATGAATGATCATAAACACTGCTTCCTAGCTCAGAGTGTTTAAAACCAAATCCAAGTTGTGAGGACCAAATGTAACAGTGGATGAGAGGATGCTGCAAAACTAAATAGGAACACACAAAAGCCTTTGCATTCTTCTCTCAAGAGGGGTGGGTCAGAGGTGAAGCAGAATAGAATATCAGCAAGGCCAGGAGTGAGTCTGAAGAAAGAAACACTGAAGTGGGTAAGGGGTGAGCACACGGGAAAGAACATTTGGGTTTAACTAGGAAAAGATTGTGACCAATGATGTCAAAGAAAGTATTTTCAGAGGCGTTGTGGCCTAAAGTGGGTCTGAACTATAGTGCTGGTCATGGTTTAGGAATGTCTGTCACTGTACATTTAAACGAACATGTTATAATTATATATACATTTATATAACCTGGGAATTGTATATATATATGTAATGTGGGAATTCTCCCGACATCCACTTCACTGACGCAGATTAACCTACATTCTCAGCTGGGCCTGGGAAGCATACCTGGCTAGGGCCCTGGTCACCCTGCTTGAGACCAGGAGGCTACGTCCAGTGTGCGAGCAGCTTATGCTCCCACCAGTTAAGTTCTATGCTTACATGTTATATTTATTCCAAACCTACTTATGCTGGTTGTACATACCGTAATTATGTAACTTAATTAAATAACTGATGAGGGATGAACGGGAAGAAAGAAGAGGGAGTTGCTGAAATGAATACTATGCTGAGTGCTTTAAGAAGGTTTATGGAGAGCAGCTAACTCTAGGTCTACTGGATTAGATACAAAGGAAACAACTACAGAGATTAGGGGATAAACTATAAAAATCTAAAGATTCTGCACTCCGACTGCATCACAACTTTGCAGAAGCAGGACCCGGAAGTCACAGGCATCGCACCTGGGGCGAGGCTTAGGCAGGAAGCCAGAGCAGAACTGCAGGTGCCCCATTCAAAGGGAGCATCTTGACCCTCTTGACCCTATGTCCAAAACCTACAGTTTTATTTTAAAATAAAGTGCAAATCCTTTCTTCAGTCAACCACCAGCCCTAACCTCTTTGGTTAAGAGGCTTTACAGCAGATTATTCTATTTTGAGGATATGGGGCTCTTCTTCACGTAAAATGCCAGCACCAGGATGACGAAAATGCAAAATCAAATTTAAAAAGTGCCTAACAAGGACCAACATAAGTAATCTTTCTAATATAAGTCAATTAATTAAGTGAACCAAATAAACAAGAAGTCAATACATGAAATTCAAAATTACCCTACCTTATCCATCAAGTATGTAGCAGCAGAAAACCTTTTAACCAAGAATGTATTCCACATCATCAGCGCAATGCCTAGACAGCAAGTAAAAGCAGAGTGGTGAGTATAATGTTCATGTATTTTCTTGTTCAGCATATCTAACAAATTACTATTTTCCTTCACTATGTACAACATTATGGGCTATTTATTGAGATATCATTTTCTTACATCTGATGTAATATTTTTAACATTAATAAAAACCTTTATCTTTAATAAAAATCAGAAGTGGCTGCATAGAGAATGTCCAAACGGCCAGTAGGCATAGGAAAAGTTTCTCAGTATTAGTTATGAGAGAAATATACATTCAAATCACAGATATCATTACACAACCAATGCAAAGGCTAACGCTTTTTTACATGACAATACCAGCACTGATAAGGTATAAATATATGGAATGGTCAGACACTGCTGGTAGGATAACATATTGGTAAAACCACCTAGAAAACAGTTTGGCGGTATCTACAAAGTTAAATGAGTGTCTGCTGTATGACCTGGCAATTATGCTGCACACATGAATACAAAGACGTGTACAAGAGTGGTGAGAACAGCTTTAGTCATAATAGCCAAACACTAGAAACGACCCCAAAGTCCACCAATTTTTTTCATATGTAATCACCAAATAACGTGATACATAAATAGTAAAAAACAAAACAAAATATGAAAAATATTTTTAAAAAGGAACTAAGTAAGAAATCTGGGCTTTATACTTCCATATTCAATAACTATGGCATTAAAGTTTCTGATATAGCTGTGTATTAGGCAGCATAACCATGAGTTTATTGCTGATAACAACACATACTGTTATTATTGCCCACTTAGGTGCTTCTGAATCTAGAGGTAAGATCCTTCACAGGCTGGGAAGAAACCAGGAAGCTTACTCAATGTACAAATGATTCTTACTTAAAGAGATTTCAGCCTCAAGTTAGTAGTAACTTAATTTTATCAATAAGGATTGAATATTCTGGAGACCCTATTTTCCAAATGAATCACTAAATCTTTTGTTTTCCCTTGGAAGAAGGTAAGGTCTAAAAGATGAGTAAATAAAATTTTTAAGTTCTCTTCATGTAAAATGAGACATTTTAGAATGTGACTTCATAGCACCTGCAAGTAAGTGGTGGAGAATAAATAAGTAGGTGGTGGAGAATAAATAAGTAGCTTCTTTAGACTTTATCACACAGACATCAATGTGACACCTATTACCTGGCCTAAATCCTAGTCTCCCCACTTAGTGAATGACTAACCTAGTGCTGAGCTCTTCAATTAATTCTTATCAGAAAACCCATATATCTACTTAATGGAACCAGGAACCTGTCTACAATTTTTCTAGATCAATTGGTAATATTTTTCAAGGAGACATCAGCAGTCCCCATGGTCAAGCAACCAATGGGGAATATTCAGTTATTAAAAGAAGCAAAAGGTAGTTTCTAGGGTATAGTATTATTAGGCTTTTGGATACCTGACTTTTTCATCAGGAATTAACAGTTTGGAGAAGCCCAACCCTCTTCTTTCCTTATCTACCTGTGAACCAAAGAGGGAATCAATGTTTCATGTAAATAATTCTCCTTATTTACTCTTAGGAATAGTAGTCACCTTTGGAAACTGATGCATGGGGACAGAAGGTGATACTTACTACCAGTCCCCTCACCCCCTTATGGGTAGCATTTTTCCAAGAGGTTAAAACAGTCAGTACATTGCATATAGTAATACATGGTCATGTGTTAGGTGGTAGGACCATCAAATGAAAATTTAATAGGATGTGAATTTAAAGATTCTTGCCTCCTGTGAACCAACCAGTTATTTTAATACCTGCTTACTTACCATTCTGAACATGTGCATTAAGAATGTGCTTCAAATGTTCTATTGACCTAACAAAAAACCGTGCTTCCTTACATACAGGGAGAAAAAAGAAAAAAGAAAAAAAAAGAGAGGTACCATTTAATAGGTGTTTCAAATACAACTGATGATTTCTTACATTAATTTCTTGCATGAAGCTTCCCAAGAATGTTATAATAAGAGTATGGAATCATTAGGTAAGAGGTGATTTTCCTTAAGATAACATCAATGATCTCTCTTAAATTCACATTATCTACATAATGACTGATTCCTGGAAACCCCCAGATCATATATGTTGACATCTGGGTTCAAAGTTTACTGTGGTTTGTACATCATAGCAGTGTTCTTTCCGATAAGTACTTGAATTTCACAGATGAAAACAATGGGTTCTTTGTAAATATCATTCATTCATTATTCAACAAATATTAGGCAACTACCATGCACCAGGGACACTGTAATAGACAAAACACCCAAATCCCTGCCTGCACTGAGGTTACATTCTAGTGCAGGAGCTACATAATAAATATGATAGTAAATTATATGTTAGTGCTAAGTGCCAAGGAGAAAAAAATTTAAGCAGTGCAAACATCAGAGGAGATGTCTGAAGTTCAACTCTCAAACCAAGGTGGTTTACATGGTAACACTCAAATATAGTACATGAATCTGATGATAGTTTCAAGATCTGTGCTAAATAATCCCATGGACTGTACGAAGATTAAACACATTACCTTTGCCAACACAAACTGGTGTTAGAAATTTCCCAAAAGTGATTTCCACTGTTTTGAGCCTAATAAAGCTGAGTGTGTAAAACAGTGGAAGTGGGATGGGGCTGGAGGGGGGCAGGTAATAACTGCTTAACAGGGAAAAAAACAAGAAAAATGGCCACTTGTTTTTAACGTAAACAATTTTGACAGACAATGGTAACACTAATTAAAATGTTAGGCCCTGTTCATGCATTTTTCTCTATAAACTGCTACAACCCTCTGAGATAGCCACAGGTCTCCACTGCTTTTAGGAGAAAACTGAGAACAAAGGGTTCAGAAATGTTCCCAAAGATCATACAGCTAATAAGTAGTGGCCGTGGGGCTTGAATTCAGCTCTATCTGTGTCTACCATGCAAGCGGCCTTGCGTTTATCACGAATGCTATAAAATAGAGCTTTCTTCTTAAGTATCACTTTCTTAGGCCTGAGTCTGGAATAGATTCATTCAGATTTTAGAAACGATTATGTCCTTGTTCTAGTACTCGCAGTCTTTTTTCCATTTTCCTGTTTTGAAGGAAAAAATCTCCGAAGTAGAGAGCCCGAATCGGATGTCCACCAGGCTCTGAAGCAGTAACTGAAGAGGGTGACTTGAGGGGCAAGAGGCTCCCCTGTCCTAACAGCATTTTTAGGTCAAAGTTTAATTGATCAAGACCATTACTTTTTAAATGTTTTCCTTTAATATGTATCTGATTATACACTACACATTTTTGGGGAGAGGAAGGAAGAATATCGTTACCATTAAATATATTAGCATTAATTAGTTCACCGGTGAGATTTTTCTTCAAAAGCGCAACCTGATATAAGGACAATAAAGGAAATAATTCTGATTCCAAAGGGATCATCTACCACAGCACTGACTAGGGACTCCTAAGTAGAGGACTTACTGGCAAAGAGGAATATCCATCATATGTTTTTACACCTTATTTGATCCTGGCATCAATCCTGAAGGATTGGCACCTTCATTAAAAAAGGGTGGAGGGAGAAAAAAACCGGTTCAGAGATTCAGTGGCTGGCCCAGAGCCAGACCCTTGTCAGAAAACCATCTAAGAGCCAAATGCAGGTCTCCTGCTCCCAGGTTTGGGGCCCTTATCCCTGTATGGCTCCTAGACTGTGCGTAACCTGGGAGAGACAGGGACTACCTACAGGGGTAGGAAATGATGTCCAGGCAGAGTTAAGAGGGCAACCAGGGTGACCCTGGACAATAGCCAGCCCTGGACACGGTACGGCTTGCTTCATTTTTCTTCTGAGACAAATAGAAGATGTGATGATAAATATAGGTGGCATCTGAATAGTCAGACACCAGGTCAGCATCAGGATCTTTATTCTGGCTTTTATCATGATGACTACGATATTAAGAATTTTCTATCAGGTAGGTGCTATTTCATGCAAAAATTCAAAAAGAAGTAATATATTTACCACAACCTAACCAGGAGTACAGCAAAACACAATAGTTTTAGATACAGAGAAGCTGAGGCTTAAATCTGCCCTAACTACTGACTCAGCAGTGTGGCCGTAGGCATGGAATTAATTTCTGAGGCCCAGTTTTCACTTCTCCAGAGCAGGGATAATGACAAGGTCTATACTTCATGGGTTTACTGTGAGGATTATAGGTGACACATATGAAAAAGGCCTACCCCAGCTCCTAGTACAGATACATTTCAAAGGGGAAAAAAATTCAGGGTTTATAGTGAGTTACTTAACTAAGCAGTCCCACATATATATACAGCATGAGCACAAAAACAGAATTCACATGAAAGCGGGAAGGAGAATCCCACCTCTGGATCTTTGTTCCACTGAACAACATACTCCCAGCAGCAATGTGCGTGCAGCACGTCCAGCTCGAGGCTACAAGGGAACTGCTTATAGGCTGACTGCAGCAAGCCTGAAAGTCAGAAGGGAAGGACATATTTATTTTTCTTTTCCTTAATAAAAACAGCCACATCTTCTCCACTCTGGATTTTATATTACTCTGTATTTATGTATTACCTGGTATGGCTCCTAAGTTCATGTCTACCTCTGACACTTCAAATAAATCTCTGTTAATACCTTCTTTGGGTTCATCTGGGTTTTCTGCATCTCTTTCATTATTAGCCAGTTTTAATATTTCAGGATTGAAGTCCTGTTTAAATATCCACTTGGCTACACTGTCTGCAATGCCACCTACAGTTTGGAGACAAGAAGGAAAATGAAAATTTACAGTGTTTGCCAAAGGGAACCAAAACAGTACATGATCTGCATCTCCTTATAGAGAGATCTCAGTACCACATTCGTGTCTGAGCCTGAAAGTGACCTCCAAAAGCCATGCGACGTACAGCAGCGTTACCGCCTGTCACTCAACTGGTGAGGGCAAGTGGGATTCCTGATACCTAAGGGCAGCTTTAGACTCTCATACCATAAAATATTAGATAAATATAAATGTATATGCATATTTATGTCTGTGTACCACGTAACTTCTATGTCCACAAATTTAAAATACACTTTACCAGACACAAAGGGATGAATACAACTTCCAAACATTCTCATTTAATATAAGTAAAAACCAGCTAATCAGCATGATGCTTGTCTAGGCTTTTTCAGGCAATAAATTACTCTTTAACAATCATCTAATTTGCCTAGATGGACTACTCATGGGCAAAATTTGGCCATCACTGATCACGAACATGATGCTATACCATGTTTCAGTCAATATAGTCGAAAAAGTTGTAAATGCAAACTGAAACATACTCAAGATGAAGAGTCCTCTTTATTACCTAACAAATTATATTCTTCTTTTTATAATATCCAAAAATGTTTTCTCCCAGCCTTTCCTCTTATTTTGTTTCAAATATAAACCTTTTATCAAAAACAATGCCTCACAGTAAACTTAGAATTGTCAGTAAAAATAAATGAGAGCAGTGTGCTGGGTGACTGATCTAATATCTCGTGTTTGGCTTCTAAATCATTTGGTAATTTTCTTTCCAGAATCAAGCCTGATTATATTGCTTAGTATTTAAATGGTGTCGTTATGCTTGACCAGGTGGCAGCATGGAGTGTAGTGAGTTTACAGTTTAAAAATTTCCACAAGTCTTTTTAATAATTTACTTAAAAAAAAATAGTTTCTCCTAACTCCCACCTCCGGCAGCTACCAATCTGTTCTCTGAATCTGTTGATATAGTCCCACTTGTTCATTTTTGCTTTTGTTTCACTTGCCCGAAGATACATGTTCATGAAAAAGTTGCTCATGTTTATATTCAAGAGCGTTTTACCTATGTTTTTTCCTAAGAGTTTTATGGTTTCATGACTTACATTCAGGTCTTTGATCCATTTTGAGTTTACTTTTGTGTACAGAGTTAGACAATAATCCAGTTTCACTCTCTTACATACAGCTGTCATTGTGCCAACACCAGTTGTTAAAGAGGCTGTCCTTTCTCCATTGTATGTCCATGGCTCCTTTATCATATATTTATTGGCCATATATGTGTGGGTTTATATGTGGACCCTTATTTCTATTCCATTGATCTATGGGTCTGTTCTTGTGCCAGTACCAAATTCTCTTGATTACTGTGGCTTTGTAGTAGAGCTTGAAGTTGGGGAGTCTAATCCCCCTGCTTTATTCTTTCTTCTCAGGATTGCTTTGGCTATTTGGGGTCTTTTGTGGTTCCATATGAATTTTAGAACTATTTGTTCTAGTTCATTGAAGAATGCTCAGTATTTTGATAGGGATTGCATTGAATCTGTAGATTGCTTTAGGCAGGATGGCCATTTTGACTCTATTAATTCTTCCTACCCAAGAGCATGGAATGTATTTCCATTTATTGGTGTCTTCTTTGATTTCTCTCAAGTGTCTTGTAGTTTTCAGAGTATAGGTCTTTCACTTCCTTGGTAGGGTTTATTCCTAGGTATTTTATTCTTTTTGAAGCAATTGTGAATGGAATTGTTTTCCTAATTTCTCTTTCTGCTAGTTCATCTTTAGTATATAGGAATGCAACAGATTTCTGTGTATTAATTTTGTATCCTGCAATTTGCCAAATTCAGATATTAGTTCTAGTAGTTTTGGATTCTTTAGGGTTATGCATGTGTATTTTATGCCAATACAATACTGTTTTAATTACTACAAATTTGTAATATAGTATTAAATTAGGCAGCATGATGCCTCTAGCTTTGTTCTTTTTTCTCAAGATTGCTTTGGTTATTTGGGGTCTTTAATGGTTGCATACAAATTGCAGGTTTGTCCTACTTTCGTAAAAAATGCCATTGGCATTTTGATAGGGATTGCACTGTATCTGTAAATTGCTTTGGGTAGTAGGGACATTTTAACAATATTAATTCGTCCAATCCATGATCACAGAGTATCTTTCAATTTATTTGTGTCTTCAATTTCTTTGCTTAATGTTTTGTAATTTTCAATATATAGGTTTTTTATCTCCTTGATTAAAGTTATTCTTAGGTATTTTATTCTTTTTAATGAAATTGTAAGTGAGATTTTAATTTCTCTGATAGCTCATTATTACTGTACAGAAATGAACAAATTTTTGTGTATTGATTTTGTATCCTGCAACTTTACTGAGTTTATTAGTTCTAACAGTTTTTTGACAGTCTTTAGAATTTTCTATCTATAATACCATGTCATATGCAAATAGTGACAATTTTACTTCTTTCTTACCAATTTGGATAACTTTTATTTCTTTTTCTTGCTTAAATGCTCTGGCTAGGACCTCTGATGCTATGTTCAATAAAAGTGGTGAAAATGTCTTGCTCCTAATTTCAGAGAAAAGCTTTTCACCTCTTGAGTATGATGTTGGGGCTTACTTTATATGGCCTTTATTATGTTGAAGTATTTTCCCTCTGAACTGCTTTGCTGAGAGTTTTTATAATAAATGTATGTTGAATTTTGTCAAATGTTTTCTCTTCAACTCTTGAGATGATTACATGATGTTTATACATCATTTTGTCAATGTGATATATATATTATGTTGATTGATTTGTGTATCTCTGGAATAAATCCCACTTGTTCTGTATATTATCCTTTTAATGCATTATTGAATTCAGTTTGCTAATATCTTGTTGAGAATGTTTGTGTCTATGTTCACCAGCAATACTGGGCTGTAATATTTTTTGTTTGTGGCATCCTTATCTGTTTTTTTTTTTATTAGGGTAATGTTGCCTTGTAGAAAGAGTTTTGAAGAACTTCTCTTCTCTCCTATTATTTGGAAGAGTTTAAGGACTCATATTCTTGTTTGGATGTTGAAGCCATCTGGTCTTGGACTTCTGTTTCTTGGGAAGTTTTGATCACTAATTCAGTCTCCTTACTAGCAATTGGTCTCCTCAGATTTTCTATATCCTCATGATTCAGTCTTGGAAAGATGTATGTTTCTAGGAATTTATCTTTTGCTTCTAGGTTGTACTATTTGCTGGCATGTAATTGTTCATTGTAGTCTCTCACGATCCTTTGTATTTTTGTGGTATCAGTTATAACATTTTTTAATTTATGATTTTTTGAGTCCTCTTTTTTCTTGTGAGTCTGGTTAAAGGTTTATCAATTTTGTTCATCTTTTCAAGGAACCAGCTGTTAGTTTCACTGATCTTGTATTGTCCTTTTAGTATTTATTTATTTCTCCTCTAATCTTTGTTATCCCCTTCCTTCTCCTAACTTTGGGCTTTGTTCTTTTTCTAGTTCCTTTTGATGTACAGTGAGGTTGTTTACTTGCTATTCTTGTTTCCTAAGGCAAGCCTTTATCATCAGGAATTTCCCTCTTAGAACCGCTTTTGCTGAATCCAATAAATTTTGGCATGTTACATGTCCATTTTCATTTGTCTTAAGATGTTTTCTTGATTGTCTTTTGATTTCTTCTTTGACCCGACTGGTTGTTCAGTAGCATGTTATTTAATCTCTCTCTCTATATATATGAATTTTCTAGTGTTCCTCATGTAATTAATTTCTCGTTTCATACCATTGTGGCCATAAAAAATGCTTGATATGATTTCAGTCCTCTTACATTTATTAAGACTGATTTTGTGGCCTAACATATGATCTACCTTGGAAAAGGTTCCATGTACACTTGAGAAGAAACTGTATTCTCTCTTTTTTTTTAATGTAATATTCTGTAAATACCTGCTAAGTCCATCTGATCTTAAGTGTCATGTAAGGCCAATGTTTTCTTACTGGTTTTCTGTCTGGACAATCTACCCACTGACATAAGTGGGGTACTAAGTTCCCCTACTATTATTGTATTGCTGCTGATTTTTCCCTTTAGAGCTATTAATATTTGCTTTACGTATTTAGCACCTCCTGTGTTGAGTGCATATGGGTTGTATCTATTCATATTTATGGCACTAGAAATTGAAACTTAATTTTTATAAAAATGTTTTTTAATAAATTAATTTCAAAATAAAAATAATATACCTATCACATGTTAACAACATTTTATGAACGTAACTGTTTTTCCCAAAGCAAGAAAAGACATTTAGTTAGAAGAGCGGCACTCCCCTTTGGGAAATCTCTTTAATACCTAGCTTATATCTGGATTCGCGATCAGCTTTGGCGTTCTGTCTCCTGTGACCTGTTGTTTGCTTTAAGCACATGAGGCAAGTCCAGCCTCACACAGACATGCAGTCGGCAAAGGGAGTGCGCCTCAGCTACTCTGACCACTACTTGAGAGATGCTGCTGCTTCTGTGAGGCAGGGGGAAGTGGCTGAGGATGTGCGAACAGGGTATTGACAGGATCAGACTCTGAGAAGATTAACTGAGTAGTATGTCATGGATTATTTTTAAATTTTTAAAAATCTGAGTGTTTCTCTATTCTTTTAGTTTTTTCTTTATAAGAAACAACCAAAAAAAAAATCTAAAATCTATACCATAAAATACAGATATACAGATGTAATGCTATATATATATATAAATAAATTTGAAATTACCTTTTCCGCCTTCTAATAACTTTTTAACAGAAAGCCGCGGGAGGGGCTCAGCCTGCACTAACGACACTTTGGAGGTTCGGGTGTTCGCTTTGCTAAGAAGCAGAGTCTGAAGTAAGAGACAATCCTCCAGTTGTTTCAGCAGGAGTTTCCAGTACTCAGTGTCAAGAGAAAGGGCCTCCCACGAGTCAGTGAGGGCTTCCGAATCAGCACCCAAAACTGTTTGGGAAAACTAACGGGATATGCACTGGTTATACTCTGGTAAAAACTCTGAATCAACATTAACTCGAATAAAGTTTTAACTTGAAAACTGATGGACAGTCAGGATACACCACAAAGCAACACACAGATGCTATTTCACAAGTACTGCTACTTGGATGGATAAATAAAACACGAGGGTCCGGAGTAGACTGGAGACTGAGGGGCAGCAACGATGAGTTCAGATATATGCAGAGACCTGCAGTAATGCCTGGCTCAACAAACGCACACTTCAAAGTTTCTAGGGTCATCCTTCAGGACCAGAGCTCTTCTCCCAGCACCAGGACACTGCCATCTCTTCAGAATGCACTCGCCAACATAAAAATTATGTCTCAAAACTCTCCTCTCCCCATTACTATAAACATTTTAATCTAGTAATATTAAATTTAGCCTATAAACTATGGGACTGAATGTTCAGTGAATCTCTACAGACCTAGTTAAGTGATTCATCCAATTTAATGCACCAGCCCCCTAGAAAAAATTATTTGACCCACCACAAGATGTAAGAAGAGATGTTACTCCTTTTTTTTTTTTTTTAATGAATTTGAGTCTTCAAGAGGTAAGGAAAAACCACAAAGTAAAAGGTTAATAGGAAAAAATTCAAAAGGAAACTTTTCTTTGAGCCATTCAATGCTACATGCCAAAAACAACCTATGTTCATAGAAGGTGGGTATAAATATAGTTGTAGACCTTCCTGAGAAATAATGCAGTCTACTCCTGACCGCTTTATGGTGAGGAAGCTTCGATGAACCAAGAGCCTCAGTTTACAGGGCTCACCCCACACCGCCGGCCACTGGCAGAGCCAGGTCTCCACACTCCGACTTCAGGATCTCTCCCCCTAGGCCACGTGGTAACTGCTAAAGTCAAGTACCCGTGGCATCCGAATAAACAGGTTAGGGGAAGCACTCCTTGCCTCTAAAAAACACACGTAAGGACCTTCTGGATACACATTTCAAATCCTAGATTTTCCCCAACATTGAAGACAATTAAATTCCAGAGAGGGAAAAGCAGCTCCTAAGCTGGCTGGATAGACAGAGGTCAAAGCTACACCTTACTTTTTTCTCTGTCCCACTGTTTGATATTTGTGCAGCAACAGAATGTCCAACATGTGCAGATAATAGGGCAGCTCCGTTGTTCTCGGACTGAATACAGGCTGTGCGCATCTGCTGCCACCAAGGGGACACAGACTGGGAGTCCCAGGTCTCATCGATGGCCACTACAGGCACAAAGAAGATAAAGCAGAACTGTTAGCCTATCCATTTTTTTGGTCAATCTTTCATGTTAAACTTTATATTTAAAGTAAATTACCCAGTGGTGAATTTGTGTATTCTGAATGAACTGGAAAATAAATCTACAACTTATTTTATTTAGAACACTTATATTCCATTTATTTATGTTATGTCATCTTGCTTTTGTATTAACTTTAAATTTATGTTTGGAGTATTTCATCATTGTTGAAAAATACTACTGAATGTTTTAATATAACAGATTATTATTTTAATCATGCCAAAAATATTAAGAAAAATATTACCTTTACCAAAGACCATTCAATTTACCTTATGGAGTTAAGAAAATGCATATTTGTATCACATTATTTTTGATGACCCAAAATATAAACAATCTTCACAGAGCATTCATTTGAATACATTAAAGAACTATTAACACATAAAACAAATTCTCTAATGAAATGTGTTATGCACTGTAATGTCCTTTTGTTGGGAGAAAGCATTCTCCCTCCCCATTTTTGCGGCATTTCAAATACTGAGCTTTCTTCCCAAGAGCAGTAGCCTACATTTCGAAGAATGCTGAACAGTACACCCCAGCATCTCACCTTTCATCTGGCTCAACAGAGACAGCACTGTATGAAGACAGCAGACAGACTGTGGTTTATCCAAAATATCTTTTTCCTTAGAAAGCCAAACACTCAGGAGCAGAGACTGAAATCAAATGCAAAACTTTTTCAGTCTAAAATATACATACAAAAAAACAGGCACTTTTCTAGGGAGCACATGTGTGTATATAAGCAATTCTGTCTTCAGATTGGGAAATAAGTGGTTATTATATCAGAACAAGGGCAGAACAAGGCACCTTTTCTGCTTAAGAGATTCTTTATCATCTGTTGTATACCTAAATTCCACCCCTTCCATCGCTCCTGTAGGCTAAGCACTGCCTTGCAGTTAGAGCCTTGATTAAGGAGCACATTACCAGAAAAGCCACTGCTACGTTAGCATGGATCCCTGTGGTTTGGTGAGGAGCTTCTTGGCCGTAGGTTTTGATTGGAGGGGAGGAAGGATATGGAGCAGCAGATCTTGCCCTTGTCTTAGCCATACAACAAGCACCATGGACTTGGCAGTGGTGAACACATATGTAAAACTATCAAGTTCCAAGTTTTAAATCACTAACAAGTTATGAGAAATAGATTTTAAAACACTTAAATCACATAAGTGACTTTTAAGATGCCTATAAATGAGCACATCTACTTAAATGTGAAGCATTTTAAGATTTACAAAATTTGCACCCAGATAATTCTGGGATAATGGAAAGTTTAATGACATGGTGTTACATCTATAAGTACTGGTGTTTGCGAAAGGTCTTGATTGCTAATAATTCTGCAGTAATTTTATGTGGACCAAAAAAAGCTCTAAAATAAAAGGTTGACTATCAGTTTAAATATCTTAGTACAAATAATTTTCAAAAATTAAGAAGGGTAGGAAGTTGAAGGAGAAGTATGTGCAGGAAATTAACGTGTGAGAACCTAAGGGCCAGGAGATAAAAGTACTTGACAGGCCCATCTGTTCATTCGGTCCTAACCACCTCTTGTGGCAGGACGGTGATCCAGGTTTTACAAATGATGGAAAGGAGACGTAACTTACTCAGCACCATACAGCTGAAGAGTTAGGACTAAAATCTGAACCTGTATTTGCCTGATTCTAACACGCATGCTTTCTTTTCTCATTTACATGGTACATATACATTTATATATGTACATAATTTTTACATATATAAAATACACATACACCTTCAAGGGTGAAATCTTCTATTGCTCTTTTTTTGACTTGTCACCCTTTTTTATTTAACTTTTCCATGTCTCCCCCTATGTCCCCCTCCTTTCTACCTCATTCTATCCAGAAACCTTGTCATTTTTGTATAACCAAGTATGTCCTTTCATATTTGTCCCCATATTCATAAGTCAAAGGCAATGTCAACAATAAATGCTAACGCTTATATACAATACCACAGAATTACTACATGCCAAGCCACTAATGGCTTTCTAAATAGATATATAGAGATAGTTTATGAAGGGAGGAGTGGCTCGTGGGGGTGGGGAGAGGAGGTGGTTCACCATTTTACAAAACTGGGGTCATATTATACCATGTTCATTCCACTTGCCACACAACATCCTGGGTAGCCCACAGAACTTTGACTGACTTTATCCATTTATCAAGTTTATTTCTCTCTCTTCCAGACTTCCTGTTAACCTCATACAACACTGCTGCTCCTCATCACTGGGCAGGCTAATAAAAACTGGCTGTCTGTACAAGACAACAAAGACACTACATAATCAGCTGGACATTAGTGGCTCGGTGTTTTGTGCACACATGCGCTGTGAAGCACATCAAAAAGAAATGAGAAGGGATGGTAGAATTTAGCTGTTAGGTTCACTGTTGAGTTGCCACTAGCCTCACTCTATTTAATTTTAAGCACAAAAATGTATCACCAGGGCTTATTTTACTTAAGAGTATACCAGGTTTCCAAACAGAACTATAGGATTAGTGTCTCTCAAAGCTTGATTCAGGTCCCCATCAGCCACAAAGTTTCAAGGTGCTCATAAAAATTGGAAACCTGAAGGGTTATTTTAGATTAAGTTATATTTAAACAAATGCCATGCCTCAAATTTCTATTCATACTGTGACCTCTTCTCATCTCTCCAACTAACCACTCTCCCTATCAGCTGATACCTTCAGAAAATTCTGAAACTAAAAACACCTTTCTTTCACTTAACTCTCCATCTTTTCCCTGTCTCTCCCTAGTCAGTCCTTCTTTTCTCTTTCTTGCCCAACAAGGTAATCTTTGCTTAAAACCTAGAGGGTGTTCCTCTTTTTTTTTATAAGCTTTAAAAATTCTAATCAGTGAGGCTTTTGTTTGTATACAGAAGGTCAGTGTGAACTAGAGGATGCCACAGGAGCCATCAGGACACAGTGACAGTTTTAGAATCAGTTAGAAGCAATAGAAAGATTTTTTAAACTTCAAAAAAGATAAAGGTGAAAGGTGGAAAATAACCAAACACGAGAATACAGAGACAAATTAAGATGCCACATAGGAACATATACAAGGATATACACAACATGAAAAGATAGCATATAGAAATAACTACCTGCCTAACTAGTAAATTACATTATAAAATATACTTCCAGAACATCACAGCAAATACTGTCACATTATTCATAATGTGGACATGTTATAATGTGAATTACATTATTTCACATATAAATGTCACATATTGCCATATTAACAGATGATACATAATAGAAACCTTGAGAGGAAATTTAGTTAATTCCTCTAAGTCAAGCAGTACCTAAGACTTGTTAAAACCTATACCTAAGAAGGAAACAGAAAAATCCATGGATCCTTGGTAGATGCTTCTAGTGCCTAATGAATGTTACCATTTTAAAGTACCCTCTTATACTATGAACATCCTAAATGCTTTAATCCTTCACTCGGTGGAAATGCTGGCAGACAGAATGTGAGAAAGTCATTTATTAGCCTTGCTTGTCAGAAACCTTTTGTCAGTCTTTGGATGAGCCTTATTTTCTAGTCCTCCCTGAAAACTACGGTCTGTTTTAGATTACAGAATTAAAACTTGATAAAATTCCCCTGAGGATAACTATAACATTTTAAACATGAAAACTACCAGCTGTTGTCTATGAATTACATAATATAATAAAATAGTGACTGAGTCAAACACAAGTTCAGAGAAAAATTTGCAATCTTTTGAAAGTTGAAAAATGGGTACAACCTACATTATAAGTGCCAAGTTTCTTCATGAGCATTCCAATAAAATTACTGTTTAAAATAATTGAAAAAATAATCAAGAAAGAACAGGGAGAGTTACATTTCAAATAGTGAGTCTCTATAAATCTAATAATATATTTTGCTGAAAGAGCTATCACCTTTTATTCATGACTTTTATATGTGTGACTCTTAAAAATCTGTTACTCTTTTAAAATAGTAACAGTTGACATTTATCTATTCTCTTTAAACAACAGTTTGAAACTATAAACTCAGAAAAAATGTCATTGGTTTCTATTTTGCACTGGCACTGTTTGGGAATGAGCAGGATTTTAGCAGGATGCATACCTACTGCATGGTACACAAAACCCCTGCAGGTTATCTTCCAAGACCAGCTTAGCAACAGCCTGAAATACGGTCTCTCAGAGTTAGATGGTTTTTAAAAATAATTTAAAGTTATAACCCATTTTATAAATTTATAAAAATAGGGGCATGTTTAATAAATTGTGGATAATAATGTATATATACATATATATCATGAAATACCCCGCATCTTTTTTGTTGTTGTTGTTGTTCGGCCCCCTTTTTTTTTTTTGTATTGTTAATGTACAATTCCATGAGCAACATTATGGTTACTAGACTCCCCCCCGTTAAGTCCCCCCAACATACCCCCTTACAGTCACTGTCCATCAGCGTAGGAAGATGCTATAGAATCACTACTTGTCTTCTCTGTGTTATACTGCCTTCCCCGTGCCACCCCGCCACATTATGTGTGCTAATCGTAATACCCCTTTTTCCCCCTTATCCCTCCCTTCCCACCCATCCTCCCCAGTCCCTTTCCCTTTGGGACTAACTAACTATTAGTGCATTCTTGGGGTCTGTGATTCTGCTGCTGTTCTGTTCCTTCAGTTTTTGCTTTGTTCTTATGCTCCACAGATGAGTGAAATCATTTGATACTTGTCTTTCTCTGCCTGGCTTATTTCACTGAGCATAATACCCTCTAGCTCCATCCATGTTGTTGCAAATGGTAGGATCTGTTTTCTTCTTATGGCTGAATAATATTCCATTGTGTGTATGTACCACATCTTCTTTATCCATTCATCTACTGATGGACACTTAGGTTGCTTCCATTTCTTGGCTATTGTAAATAGTGCTGTGATACACATAGGGGTGCATATGTCTTTTTCAAACTGGGCTCCTGCATTCTCAGGGTGAACTCCTAGGAGTGGAATTCCTGGGTCAAATGTTATTTCTATTTTGAGTTTCTGAGGAACCTCCATACTGCTTTCCACAATGGTTGAACTAGTTTACATTCCTACCAGCAGTGTAGGAGGGTTCCCCTTTCTCCACATCCTTGCCAAAATTTGTTGTTGTGTGTGTTTTGGATGGTGGGCATTTTATAAATTTTATAACACAATAATATATTTTTAGATCACAGCCTTACAGGTTTAAAATAGAGAAATATCCCAATACATATCACTTTATTACAGTATAATACATATATGTATATATGTATATATCTACAATAAAATTAATTAATTTTAAGTTGGATAACCAACACCATAAACATGATAAAATACATTACCCAGAAGGTCTTTTGTGCCCCTTTGTAGTCAATTTCCAACCACCACTCTCATCCCCTAGCAAACATTCATCTCCTCTGTCACTGTACTTTTGCCTAGTCTAGTATTTCATACAACTGAAATCATACAGTAAGTAGTCTATCATTCCTGGAACTTTTCACTTAAGACTCATTGATGCTATTGTGTGTATCAGGAGTTCATTCCACTTTATAGATAAATACCATAATTTCCTTATCCATTTATCAGTTGGTGGATATTTGGGTTGTTTCTAGTTTGGGCCATTATGAATAAAGCAGCCTGTTAATATTTATTCCAAATCTAAGGGAACATGCATTTTCATTCCTCTTAGATAAATACCTAGGGGGGAGACTGCTGGATTTTACGGGAAATCTCCATTCAACTCTATAAGAAACTTTCAAACTATTTTCCAAAGTGGTTGTATTAGTTTGCATTTCCATTAGCCATATTAAGAGTTCTTATTGCTCCATATCCTCATCAACATTGGTATGATCAGTCTTTTAAATTCAGTCATTTTTTTGGGAAAGAGATCACGGTTTATTTTGCATTTTGCTAATGGCTAATGATGCTGAACATCTTTCAGGTGATTATTTGCCGTGTGTGTGTATTTTTTTGGTGATGTGAATGTTCAAATCTTTTGCTCATTTTTTAATTGAATAGTTTGTCTTATTGAGTACAAATTCTTTATATAATGTGGATATAATTCATTTGTTAGATATAAGTTTTGAAAAAAGAGGCTTGTCTTTTCAATTTCTTAACAGCTTTTTTTAAAATCAGAAGCTTTAAATTTTGATGAAGTATAGTTTATCAATATTTTTCTTTTATAGTTCATGTATTTTTGTGCCCAGAGAAATCTTTGCCTATCTCCTATGTTTTCTTTTTTAAGTTTTGTAGCTTAAACTCTTATATTTATGCTCCATTTTGTGTTAATTTTTATGTATGGCTTGCAGTAAGGTTCCAGGTTCATCTTGTTCCAGTGTTTTTTTAAGCCCAGATTTAAAGCAGACAACATTTTATTGATATTGATTAAACACAATGTAAAACTTACCTCCTTTCTTTTTATCTATTCTGAAAGAGTCACTGGTGGCACAAAGAAATGCATGGGGAAGTCCCTGTACTGTAACATTAGTCTCCCCTAATGTTAACTAACATCTTACACAGTATCACAACAAGAAATGAACACTGGTAAAATCCACAGAGCATATTCAAATTTCACCAGTAACACATGCACCATTTGTGCATGCTTGCAATTTTATCAATGTGTAACTTTGCATAACCATAAACACAATCAAGTTAACCCTTTTTAGCCGCACCCACCTCCTTGCCTCACTCATCCTCAGCCCTTAGCTAATCTCATCTCCACCTCTATAACTGTGCCATTTCATGACTGACAAAAATGGGATTATGCAGTATGTAGGTTTTTTAAGATTGGCTCTTTTCCACTCAGCATCTCTCCCTTGAGGTTCATCCAAGTTGCTGCATGAATCAGTAACCCATTCCTTCCTCCTGCTGAGTAGTAGTCCATGGTCAGGATGTGTCACAGTTGGTTTAACCATCTATCCACTGAAGGACATTTGCAGTTTTCAGTCTGGGGCTATGATGAATAAAGCTGCTCATGAAAATCCACATACAACTCTGTGTATCTATAACTGCTTTACTTTCGGACATACATACTACATAGTGGGCTAGAAGAGAGTCCATTTTTGAGGGACTTAAATGTTTAATGAAGACAATACATGGACACAGTCAACAAGCTCATGGATAGAGTGGACAAATCCTGGACAAAATGTAAGCTATCGGCAGGCATGTGAAAGAGTATGTATGTGTGCATGTCAGGGGTGAAAAGAAAGAGAAGAATAGATAATGGGGTGTAGGTGGAGGGGACTTCATGTGCTCTTTTCAGAAAGGGCAAAAATTTAGTGTTGTAGTTTTTCCATTGGATGATTCTATTGTTTCACAGTGTGTTATAGCACATTGACAAAATCCTAATATAGAAGCAAAGTATGGGAAGATTTGATAACAATTCTGTATTGCTCTAAGGGAAGTTCATTTTGTTCTTTAAATAAGATCATTTTTAATTCCCATACAAACATTTTTACTGATGATCACAGTCCCTTGTAAGTATGCATACATGTCAGATTCAAAATTTATTTCCAGTCAACCATGGAACATAAGGAATGAAAAAAATAATAATATTCAATTAAATATAGTAATTAGAAGTTTCTTTGATCATTTTTAGTTTTCATGCGCTCTAGCAAGTGCTTTCGGCAATGGTAAAGAAGTCTGACACTTCTGGATGACATCACCGAGAACGCACAACACCCAACAACAAACCTTACCAGCAGCAGCTGAGGGCTGAGTCCGGCTGACTCCGAAGTGTGACACACATCCGCAGGGGAACTTTCTCCATGCAAACACTTCCAAAAAAAGAAACTGCCTAGTAGAACAAAAAATGCATTAACCAATGACTACTTGCCATTTAGACTAACAATCTTCCCGAGTTGCAATCTAGATCTCCGGAGGAGCAAAAGAGCGGAAGAGGGGAAATTAATAGTTCAATTTGCTTGGCTTATTAAAGCAGAAGACAAATCAATACATGTCTAACATTGTCTCTTTAGCATACTTATTAATACAATTAAACTTTTATGACATGGCGCCAACATATCCAGAATATCTTTTGTTAACTGAAAAATATACATTAAATTCTTTGGTTAATTTAACTTCAAACCAAACAATCTCTGAGACACTGTAATCTCCTTCAAGGCTTTCTTCTAGAAGAGGGAGGATTCAAAGAGCAGATTATCGTACCTACCTAAAGCCACAGATTCTTCTTCATTTATCTTCTTTATGTTGACCACATCTTTCTCAGATTCTAAATATTCCAGGAATGTTTTTACGGGCAACACACCATCCTTATCATCAGAAAATCGGACCGTAGTGCTGGTTTTCTCTTGTTTATACTTCTCTAATAATGCCTGGAGCTTAAGCAGTTCTTTTTCATCAAGCCTTAGTAACACAGCCAAGTCCTTAAAAATAGGGAAAAAAGGTCTGGATAGACCGTATTCCTTTCTACTAATCTGTTATATGGGTCAACCCCATCATCTGAAATGAAATCCAAGACTCTTAACAAAAGATGACTTTTAAATTAATGGGATAGTTTTAATGTACTCTTTAAAACTGCACTCTTAAATCCATGAGGAGGAGGCTAAACTAATCTTGAAACACTACATGTTACTAAAAGTACCACTTTTAGAAAGTTTCTTGTGAATACTCTATACTCTTCTAAAATGCTCATTTTTAGAAATAGTATTATTTTATACTCCAAGAAAATTTTAAAGGGTGTCAACTGCAACTCTTGTGATTTGAGGAAGCTAAAGAACTATTTGAAACTGAATGTTTATTTATGAAGTAGCATAAATACAAAAAATAAAAACATTGGAAAACAATCCTCACTGTATCTATATATAAATTCTCTATGTCATTTTCAGGAATACAGAGATTGAAAAGTCATGAATACATCCTGAGAGCTTTTCGGACCATTTTTACGTACCACATGTATAGAAACATCTCTTGATACTACTATCATTTTTCTAAATTGGGGATAAGTATATATATATACACACACACACACACACACACACACACACACACACACACACACGCACACTGGAAGACCAAAGCAAGCAAAATGTTCTTCCCTCCATGCTGCATGATCAAAGTTGCATTCTCAAACAATAGCAGTTTTATTTGTTTATTTATTTAAGGCCATTGTTTTTAAAAACAAGAAGTAAACTGTGAAATGCTACTGAACACACACCAGTAGTTCAATGCTACACTGACTTTATATATGAACTTTTATGAACTATGTCCCACAGACAGCAAAAACAAATCAATTTAGATTTGAATTTTAGTTTGTATGTACACAATCAGCCAGTCAGTACAAAGATGACTACATATTTTTTGAGGGATCTTAAGAAGTCTACAGCAAAATAAAGTTTTAATTCTTAAAAAGTGCTTTAAAATTAAAAGGTAATAAAGAACAATCTGCAACTGATTTTAAAATTTTTATAATTCTTCTTTTATCTTTGTACTGTATTGGGGCTATCAGGTGGAAATGAATCCTATAGCAGAGTATTAATGACATATATTTAACTTTCTTTGGAGGGGTGAAAGAGAGAGAGTTTGGATTTTCTGAAAAGATCAGGAATTGGAGAGTCTATGAAATGTGTAGGCAATCCTAACCAATGTGAACCTTTCTGTTGATTGAAATAATTTCACACAATTATTGAAGTACACAGAAAAGCAAAAGATCCTGAAAAATGGCTTTGTCATTTATACTGGCAGTCACAGAATATTATCATCAATACATTGTTAAAATGTTTTATGGAATTTATCTAATAACCCCAACTATATAAAAGATATTAGAATGTGTAAGTTGTTTCCATTACAAAGGAAAAAAATCCTCTCTTATTTTTATTTAAAACTTTTTATTCATGTATATGTATTTAAAATAAAAGGCTTCCCCTTTAATCTCAACTACCTTTTAGATATACCAGATAATTCTTTTAAAAGCATTACCAGTGACTTGAAAACCATTAAAATCACTTTAATAATAATTTTTGTTTAGATAAGTAGAGGACAAGAGGGCCCAAAGCCAGGCAACCTGCCCAAGGTCACACACAAGTAACCTGAGGTGAAAGAGAGGACAGTATTTCCCTCTAGTCCTTATTAAGTGAATGTTATTTCTCTGTATGGAAGAAAGAATTTTGTATACACTCCTCAGAAATGAGCAATGCTGCACTATAATCAAGAATAGAAGGTGCTGTCATTTTTAATGTTTTACAGAATAAAAATATAGAACATTTATTATGATTAGTTTAAACACTTCGATGTTAAGAAGAGAATTTTTAAAAATGTATTTCACTATGTAATACACTATAGAGTAGGCTGTATGAGTTTGTTAATAACAACAGTAACACTGAAAAGCCAGTCTCTTCTGTTTGGCAGAATCTCATTCTTTTTTTCTTTGAAATAAATTAAAGTTTTGCTACTTTTATAAATTGAATATATTTTAAATGGCAAACCTTGTCTAAAAGTTGCATTATAAGAAGTAACTTAAAAAAATTAATTAAGAAAAACCAAATACTTCCAGGGTAGTGAAAATGGGTTAACAATAAAATTTAATATTCTGGCATAAACAATAAAAATTTAGCAGCAAGGCACAGCAGATCTTGTAAAGAAAGTACATCTTTATACTTCATAAAATTTTTCATTTTCTACTTCTTTAAATACCAGTTAAAAAATTAAAAGTAACCAAAGAGATGATTTTGTATAATAAGCAATGGGATTACTTACATTATCAGAGAATGGTGTGTCTGAATGAAATCCATGGGAATTCAACTGACTGACAGACTCATAAAGATGGAGTAACTTCAGTTTATTGGCACAGAACTGTAGCAATCCTTCATCAACAGACTCAAGCTCTAAAAGGTGGAAGGAAGAAAACACATTAAAGAGATATATTTAACAGACTCATAAAAAGGCTTTTCTTTCATTAAATCTCCTAATTTACATAATTCTCCATTTTATTTTATTAAATATTGGGATGCTTAAGCTGTAATAGATAACACAAAGATAATTTTTCCATCATAGTAAAAATGTCTAAATTTCTAAATGAAATAAGGTATACTCTAATAGTAGAGAGGGAAAAAAAGAGGGAGAAAAAGAAACAGGGAAAAAACTATTTTAGTCTAATATTCCAATCTAAAGAAATGATCTGGGAGCAGCTTTGAAAATATTCTCCCTCACCCCGTAGCTCATGTGCTGCCTGTGATGCTCATATACTGAGGACAGACTAGAAAGCTGCCTGTCTCTTTCTATGGTGGTCAAAGATACTACAGTTCAGCCTGAAACTGGGTTGTGGCAGATACATCCTCGAGAAATGCTGGCCAAGAGACAAGAAGTAGAATCCCATTGGCCATCCAACATCCTCCACCAGCAAGGCATTCTTCCAAGGTTAGTGAAGGAGAAATACTCACTCTTTCTTTAATATATTCCTTCCTCTCAATAGAGGAATTCAAAAGAGAAATATTTACATTGAGAATCAGAGTCAATATATTCAGAGAAAGCTCAGATGAAGATGAATTGCATACACTTGAGAGAATAAAAAAGTCCTAAATACTAAAGTTACTGATATTATTTCCACATTTAAGTAACATGATGGTATCATAAGCAAACAGCTTTCTATCATCAGTTATAAAATCTGAAATAAGATCCTAATCTCCAATCAGTACAAACCCTATTACCTTGATTTTTTAAAGTGTCCATTAAAGTCTGAGTGATGTTTCTAAGGCAGGAAAATGGTAAGCGTTCACTTGCCAAAATGCTCTCCAAAGCCTAGAAGAAAGATATTGAGAAATTCTAATAATTAGAAGACAAAGATTTTGGTTTTTAATTTTATATTTATGCCTACAGTTTCACTACCCCAAATTTCAAAGGGAAACTCCATATTTAAGATGCTTTAATATACATACCTGAGAATAAAAGATGCATCATAGGTAACATATAATCAATTTCAAATCATGTCCAATATGGCATAATAACAAAAAGTCCAGACTGAAAACAAAACAACTAGAAGGCAACTGAAGTTTAACAGAGTAGCCAAAGCACACAGAAACATATTTCAAGCTACTCACCAATAAGAAAGATCTGAATACATTTATACTATACTACAGGCATACGTGAAAGGTAGGGGCTGTCACTGTCATGTCAACAACAGAAGCTGACGACTAATTACTGCATTTGAGCATGGCTGGCTCAGTCTACAGGCCATGCGAGATATAAATACCTCCTGCCCCACCCCACCTCCCCTACTGGCCCCAGTAGATAGTTAAGAGCCTTTGTCACAAATTCCAAAATACCTCTTGACGCCTAAAGAAGTAACCAGCAGAATCACCAATGAATTAAACACAGCAGTTCAAGTTCCTTTCACATTAGTACATTAAATTGAGTTTTTATTGATAAGAATAAACAGTTTAAAAACTAGGTTTACAATGGTACGAGATAAATATCACATCATAACATAATAACCGCTGTGTGTTTGTGGGGAAGAAATAGACCTAGACAGTGGCTAAAGAGGTTGGTCAGGCCTATGATGAGGCAACTACATGACTGAAAGAGACAAATACCTGGGAAAATGTCGGCTGCCTCTGTTCTGTCTACTATTACACAAGCCAGCAGGGGCTTATCTATGTATTCAGTCTTCCAAAGCCTAAGTTGGTTTCTTTTCTCTCTTTAGTGTCAAAAACAATACACAGCTTTCACTATTAGCTTTTCCAGCATTTTTAATAAAATTCATAGCTTCATATACAATTCAGTAGTATAATTAAAAAATAATCAAGAAGACAATTTGCATTATGCTAAAGTTTCCCAATTTTGTTTTTCCATGATGTCGGTTAAGAAGATAGATGGTATCATAATGAGAAGACTTATTTGGGTCATGACTACAGATTCTCCCTAAGCTGCCTCTCTAGATGTCTACCTTGTCATAAGAGTGTCATCTTTAATAACAGAGACTTTGCCCTAAAGAAAATGAGAGCCAGTTAGCACTGTCAGTGGAACAGAAAACTCGACCAAAAGTCATAGGGACTTGCCTGTTCTAAAATTAAACAATAAAAAGTATTTTTTAAAATGACTACAACAATAAAGTAAGAGGGATAAAAAGAAATCAGCATTTACTAAATTCCCCCATGTATTTAGCATTAGCATTTTTTTAGATAGTGTAGAATTATTCCGCAAGGTCCCTTCTTGAAGGAGCCTAAAAGAGGCAAAGAGGAAGAAATTGGGTAGCTATGACTAATATACTTGAAATAATTAGAAAACAAGTAGCTATTAGCTACCTGGTTCTGATTAGAACTAGAGTAAGAGATCAGAGGTATCCGAGGGGACTGAAGTGTCTGTAAGAAGTGAGAGTTAGAGCTGGAGCAGCACCGGGGGGTTTGGATAGGAGGCGTGGGAGCAAAAGAAACCACAGTAACTGGCGAAGCATAACCATGAACATGGCAAAAAGGAACAAGTCTCACAATACCATGGGGTGTTGAGGCTCTGGAGCAATAGGGCCTCTTACACAGTACAAATGGGAACATAAATAAGTGCAAGTATTTTGAGAAGCAATTTGTCATCAACTAGTATAGCTGAAGGAGCTCATATCCTACATTTCCACTCTTAGAGAAACTCCTGCATGTGGGCACCAGGAGACATGCACAAGGATAATCACAGTATCACTATTTGTAGTAGTAAAACAACTGGAAACAACCTAAATGGCTATTGGCAGGAGAGTAAATAAATTACACTCATAGAGTGGAACTGAAATAGCACAGGGCATGAATCAACGATAGCTACATGTACAGACTCAAAAAAACATAATGCTGGAGGAATAAATTAAGTCACAGAAGAAGACGTGAGGCATGACTCTATTTATATAATGCTCTGAAGACAGAAAATGCATCAAAAGGAGCTATAAAAAAATAACTATAAATAAAAGCAAAATAAAAACACACAGTTCTGAACACCAGCTACCGTAGGGAGGGGAGAAGGGGCTGGGATTGGGAGAGTCATGTAGGCCTCTTCAGAGTTCCTGGGAACATTGTTTCCTAACTGGATGGTCATACACATGTGTTCACTTTACTATTATTCTTTAATCTGAATATATGTTAGGTGTGGATGTGTGTTATGTTTCAAATATGGACTTGTGTATGGTAATATTACAAAATTTCTGAAAGAAAGGAAGGAAATAAGAGACAATGGGGAACTTCTACATGCAAATATAAAAAAGGATGAACATGAATAAACACATGAAAAGAAGACTTTAGACTATATGAAAATCAGTATTTTCTTAAAAAGGATATTTAATAGCTACTCAGAGGGAAAGTTCATATATTATATATACTTACTTGTTTTTTGGTTACAGGGTATTTAATATCAAGAATTAATTCCTTTATTTCTTTTTCAACCATATCTAGAAAGAGAAAATTAGCCAAAGTAAATTTTTTACTTTTATTACAGGTAAGCTAGTCACAAAGAAAAATGCATATATTTGTACTATCAGTCAGTCTAAAGGATTTTGGGCCTCTCTCATGTTACAGTTTTATTTAACGAATTTGAATACTTCCTAGATGGCATGCTTCATAGTTACAGAGCAAATCCAATAAAAATTACATTTTGAAAAGGAATCATGACAGCTCATATTCTGATTGCTCCATTTAGAATATTCTATTAACTTTTAAAATGGCTTAACAGTATGCTCATTATTTTACTCCAGGATACCTACCAACATTGGGAGACTTTGTTTTCAGTAAGGCTGCTAATTTCTTCACTAAGTGCATGTCTTTGGCTCGTTCACTCTTCTTGTCACTAAAACAACAAACACAATGAATTCTTACCGAATGTGAAACTGTTTTCCTTCTAATTCTCACACTCTCCAACTTTCTTTTTTCTTTATATTTTTCCTATGTGACTTTAAAGATATCAGTTTAATAAGACAAGGGAACAACAAAACAGGAACTACAAAACAAAGACCAAACTAAGGGAGCAGGAAAAGTGAGCAGAAGGACATCAACAAGACACATGATAAATCTTACCTCAGTGCTAAATGGAAGGGAACATTCACTGTTTTCACACTTCCAGACACTGGATCAACGAGACAGATCTGGTAAGTCTGTGGCTGCCAGCTCTGACTGGTAACATTATTTAAGCCCATTATTTTATAGCCAGGATACAGAAGCCTGAGGAAATCACATACCAACATGGTAAAAGTATTATAGAAAGGAGAAATGCCAAAAGGGGCTTGCACTGTAGCGAGCAACTCCTACAAGATCACCAGTTCCGGCACACTAGTAAGGTCAACAAATACTGACACCAAAACCAAGTAGAGCAGGACTCAACTGGCAGAGTTCCACCTTGTCAAAATCGGCCAGAAAATGAAGTGAACACAATCATGCCTACGTGGCAATGGCAAACAAAGCATTCGCCTCACTCGACATCATCACGGGATGACTCTAAAACAGTCTTCCCTTGTGCACCTCCACAGCATAGTAAGTAAGGGATAGGGACAAATGGCAGCACCAGAGCTAACTTTAATTCAGGAGCTTATCATGGCCTTTTCAAGTAAGATTTCTTTGCTGTGAAATACTTAATCCTCAATTATAGATTGGCACTCACAAGAAAAACCATAATAAAGAATATTTCAATTCTCAAACAACCTGCAATCTAATAAGTAGAATTAATAAGAGCTCTACTTTAATAAGAGCATTCCTTCTTGTAACTAGGAAAATGCCAGGGTTTGGAGCTTACCTGCAGTGCTTTCCCACATTGAAAGCTCCCACTCTAGGTCCCTGCTGTGTGCTCCACACTTCCAAAATCCCCCTTCTTGGTGCATAGATCACAATGAACTGAGCTACTCGACTTGGACCCTGAGTATTCCCAAAGGGGGGAAAATCCACCTTCTCTGGTACTCTCTCGTGGAGGTCCTCTACTATTTGGATCCAGCCAATCTGTGCACCCCGATAGCCTTGGAGACAGAGGAGAAGGGAAGCTGATCAGTCAGTTCATTGGGGTTCAGCTATAGGCTTCTGAGGCACTCTGGGATATTTTAGTGGGGCATTTAAAAGAAGCTATAAAAATACATTATCTTTTTTTTATGAAATACCTTAAACAGAAAAGAATTATAATAAAATTATAACTATTGAATCAATCACCAAGTCTTAATAAATCACAATACTTTGCTATATTTGCTTTTGATCACTTTTTATATAAAAAGAAAACAGGTATCATTGGGGCTTCACAAGTACCCTTCCCTGATCCCATTCCCTTCCCTCTCCTCAAGAAATTCTCTCCTTTTAAAAAAGCCTGGGAGATTATCAGGTTTGGGTTTAAAATGAAAGTCCAACTAAAATATAAGAAAAAGATCAGCTGACTTCCTGCCCTTTAATTCTCTTGGCAGAATGCAACAGAGGGATGAGAGGAAGCTGCTGCTCATGAGGAGAGAGATGCAGCTGACGCTGTCTTCCATTCTAGGCTGGTCCCACAAACAGGCAGTGATCCTCTCTTCCCAGTATGGGGAGGAAAACTGACCTCACCAGCTGCAAAGGACAAGCCAGCAGTGAGATCACTGCAGCGGATCTGAACCAGTTACTATGCCTATGCTCTTCTATATTCTGGAAACATCTTGCTGAGAATACGTCCTTGATGTTATTTCAGAAGACAACTACCAAGGAGAAATGATCTACTGCAGCATCGAAACTTCACTCTACAGACACTTAAACATGTGGCAGGTTAACACTGCAGGAATTCTTTGGCAAGAAAGTGACAGTGGCTTCAGTCTTGTCCAGAGTATTTAATGCCACCAAATCCAGTAATTGTTCCTCACATTGTTAAGTCACAGACGAGACTGCACTGTAATTGGGGTTTCAAACCAGTAGTCTGTGATGACATGTTACTATTCCAAACAATGCATTCTCCCTTTCTTCCTTAGTCAAGGAGGTTTTTATTTTAGTCGGGTTGACAATACACCTAGATATTTTCCAGTCTCTCTTACAGTTAGGTGTAACTGTGTGACTAAATCCTGGCCAATGTATTGTAGAAAAGGTTGCCAGGACTTCCAGAAATATCTTCGAAGTGGACTAAGATGGCAGTTCTTCTTTCCCCTTCTTCCTTCCTGGAAAGTAGATAAGAAGTCTGGAGCTCCAGCAGCCATCTGAACCATGAGATAACCTTGAGTGGGGAAGCTACATGGAAGACTAGGTTCCTGAGGATGTCACGGTGATATCATCCTAATCCTGTAATTAGATCTGCTATTAGCAACTAAATGTAAATCCTCACTGACACAGTGACCAAGAAACTTAAGAGAATTGACCCAAGCATATGGTTTTGGCAGTCAAGTCAGCAAAAGTTTTGCTAAATCTTGCCACCTTCAATCTGAAAGACTTGGCATTCAGATCTGGAGAGAAATTTGGATTCAAGCATAGCCTATGGAATGAACACAGCAGGGGCAAGAAACTGAATTCAGGAATTGACAATGACGGTGAGAACTGAAAAGGCACCCGTAAGGAAGAAGTTAAAAGTGTCTATGAGTTGATCAAATTTAAAGGCTGTATCAACTGGACTAGTGGATCAAGTTTTGCTGATCTGAGCTCATGTTAAAAGAGAAAGCATAACATGAACTAAACAGTGTTATCAACAAGAAGCTGAGGGATGGTAACACTGCTCAACTATTGGAGTAATAAAGCAAGTTCACTTTTTGTCTGTATTTTTGCAAGGAAGTACCTTTCCACATGCGTACTGCAATTCCTCTAGTTACATCCAATAAAATAACTCGGCCAAAATCATCAGTTACTGCCGCCAGTGTGTTACATGGAGACAGACATATACTTTCACCATGACGTCTAGAATCTGGAAGTCCAAACCTGATATTCAAGAGAAAATAGCTCAAATCAAATTCCAATCTAGAAATACGTAACAGAATAATGAAATGAATAAGCAAAATGGCTGAATCTGTTTTTATATAGAGAAATATGAACTTTGTATGAATAACTTATTAACTATTCACATCAGCTTGCAATAAAAAATGCATAAAGAAGTTTCTTCTGTTATAAAATAGAAACACCTAAGTTTTATTTCATAGACTTTCTGTATGGATATCCACAACCTTACATTTTTAGAGAGTATCAAGTAACTACCTTTCTTTCATTAAGTGGTATATCATAGAATGCAATACCCTCACAACCAACTAAATTTTAGAATACTTTTGCTCCTATACAAGTGTTTTTCTTATTTCTAAAGTATTCTCTTTATATGTTAGATATAATGTCTTGCTGACATGGATGTATCTGTCTGAAGCAAAAGCTATCCCTTCTAATAGTTATCTCTAAACTGCTTTTGGTCTATCATCAATCTAATTAAAAATGTGAACAAAATAAAAGTAAAAAGGTAACAAGAAAGAACCAGGAAATCTCACTTTGTGAAAAGTTCCTGAGATGAAGTGCTCAAACCTCAGTATACCTATTTGGATGCACAGGACCATTTGGCCTTTTTCTTGATTCTTGGGTGAATTTAGAAAATGTGATGTGTTAAACATAGTGTTTTAAGATAATATGAAAAAAACCTTAGAAAGCAATCTTTAATAAATTTTAGTAACATATCTGCAGCCAAAGGACATCTAAAAAGGTGGTAAGTTTTTCTTTACCTTCATGGTAGTACTCTGTATTAGGTAATAAGAAAATGATTTTAAGACAAAAATCAAACAAAAATCATACCCTCTCCTCCCAAAACGTGATGAGCACACTAAATATTTTCCAGACTGCTGAAGTGAGCCAGCAAGTAAAAGCCAGAATTCTAAAGAGTGCTTGAATGCATGTGATTCCTGTTTTGTTTTTTTTTTAAAGAAAACATTAGGTAGTATTTTAATTTTATACAGCTTATTGACAAACCGAAACTTTTAAAGAAATTTGACAGCTATCACAACACAAATGTTCCTGCAACTTAAGCTAAGTTTATAGATGTTTGCAAAAAAAGCACACTTCACAAATACATATTGAGCACCTTGTATATGAGAGGCAGACACCTCCCAGCAAAATAGGCAAGAATCACTGTCCCTTAGGGGTGACATTCTGGTGGGGAAAATGACTTCATGACAGATTTAATGGCTTTTAGAAGTTCCAAAGACTCATGAGATCAACAAATCAACTCAGCACACTGAAAACAACTATAAATTCAAGAGTATATTTCTAAAAATACTAAAATTTGAGAAGAGCATGTCAGACTTGCCTTACAGCTAACGGGGTAGCTGGTTCAACCTTCGGTTTTTGCTTTGGGGCAGCGTCTTCCTCATGCTTACTTTTCCAACCAAGCCAACCGCTGAAAAAGAAAGAGAACTTAGAATAAAACTATCAAAATAGAAGTTAAACAAAGCGAGACAGAAGTCAGATCTCATTTTAAATTTAAGGACTATGTAATTACCTGGCAGCATTAAATAAAGCGGAGGTGAGTTTACTTGCAACTGCTAGGGCGACGTGAGATAGCAGTGGTTGAGCGCTCCCCTAAAAAACAGGACGTTTGAGAGAGAAGACTTGATTGCTGACAAGGAAACAAAATACACTATTTAAAGGCTTACTTTAAAAAGTTTTGAGAAGTTATAAAGTCTGGACTAGTGAGAATAGTCAGCACCTTTCAGAAGATACAGCAAAAACTTTATTTAGGGAGGTAGCAATATAATCTAAAGTTTTAACTCTATAGCCGAAAAGTAAAATCACTAGTAGTCTGTTTTATCTTTAGGATTTTCCTCTTTCAGTTGTATTAATTTAAATAATTTAAACTAGTACATTAAGATGGCATTATTTTAGGAGGACTATGATTTCCCATCTACACACAACTGTCTCTTAATACATATATGTATTTTATGAAAGAGAGAGTTCGGGCCATTCTTACAAGCTGCTTTTTAAGCGAGAAATAAGAGTTGCCAAATCTAACACCTAACTTTACCCTATTTGAGAAAGCAATTTTCACCACTTGTATCAACTACAGCCGGCAGCTTGTTGTCTTTATAATTCTGCACTTACTCAAATCCCTGGTGGGCTAACATCATTCAGAACCCTGAGCTTCTTTCTGGCTCTACTGCACCAAAATTTAAAGACAACTCAGCTGTCCAAGGACTCAGGGCAACAGAAACAAAGAAGTTTGGTTGTTTGATATTACTTTAATTCCTTTTCAGTTAATCTAAAGAACTTAGAAGAAAGCTAAACTGAGACTAATTTTAGCTTCAACTGAAACTTACAAATATAAACTGCTTAATCTTTCTAAGGCTAAATTACCATATCCAATTTGTGGACATTTGAAAAATCAAAAGTGGTCTTAATCATGATCAGTGATGAAAAACTCTTACCTCTAAAGCATAGAAGAAGCCAGTAAATGGACTGGACCCCACAGTGATGTACTGAGACATGGCTGGCGGACTGTTTTTAATTGCTGCACTGAATCCACCTATATTGGAGGCAGTCTTCATTTGATCAAAAGGGGACAGAGTCATAATACCTAATGATAAAACAGTAATAACACACAAGTTGATGCACTGAAATTATACTAACGTCTTAAATTATTTTTTTACTTCAACTCCATTCTAAGATGCTAGCTGCTTAGTTTTAACAGACAGCAGTCCTTTTTAAAAGTTGCAAAATCAATGGCATAAAATATTCATGAGGTATTAAAATTGCCACCCATAATTCTTCTAAGCTATAATACAAAACAAATTTTGAACATTAATTTTTAAAAGATATAAAATTCGAATGGCACAAGAAATATACAGTCCACTTATATCTCTAGGTATCAGTTTACTTCCTAGAGGCAACAACTGAGAGTTTCATATGCTGTGTTCCAGAAATGTTGTACATACATAAATGAGAGCACACAAACTGATGGGTGCCTTATTTATTTATTTTTATTTAACAAAATATCAAGGAGACATGCCTTATTATCAACCAACCAGGCTGCTGGACACTAATTTCCAACAGTCTAGATTTTGCTGACTGCCTCCCCGTGGGACTATTTAACATTTTGTCCTGCTCTCTCTGTTACAGCAAATCGGCAGAATCTAAGGGACCAGTGTCTTTTGAGTCACCAATATTGGCAGTATTTTTCATTGATTTAAGATAAATTAAAGTACAGCTTATTTACATCCCCTCTTCTTCTCTCTATAACCTTCTGGTACATCCCATCTCAATTTTTTATTAAATTTACATTCACTGTTTTCATTATTAAGAACGCTGTAAATATTACTCACTGCTGAGACACGCTGCCCATTGTAATTACATTTCCTTAGATGTCAATATTTTTTTTCTGGAGTCACCGTTACTTTCATTTATGGTTTTCCCTGAACGTCTGAAGCCTTTCCACACTCAAAACACTTGCTTCCTCTGCCTAGAGTGTTCGTTCTCCACCTCCTCCCGTAGCTGGCTCATTCTCATCCCTCATGCCCCCCTCTGAATGTCACTTCCCTGGGGACACCTCTCCTCACCCGTCTACCTCAAGTACCCTCTTCCTTTGTGCACTATCATGATAGTGTCCTAACGTTTCAATATTACCATTGTTATTCATTTGAATTGTTTATTTCCTCCCCATCGCCATTTTTCAGGTTGGAGGCCTGTCTGCCTTATGTTTCCAGCACCAATATTAGAGCCCGGGACAAAACACTTATTAAGTCATTTATTTGTTGAGTGAATTAATCAGACTTTTACATAAAGATATACATACATACAATAAAGTTCATTCTAAGTTCCCCTTACCCCCCCTTTTTTAAAATCATTTTGTAGGCTGGGAAATAAATGAATAGAGTAATATTTTCTATCCAATCATTTTTCCTAGCCTGTTTCAATGTTCCAAAGTTTAATTAACAGAACAGGGAAACCACCCTGAACTGAACTCAACACTTTGGAATTTTGCAGCATTATTGTATTAGCAAAAAAAATGAAGACAAAATGAATGTCTACCAATAAAGTGTTTATTACAGAGTATTCCATACAGCAACAGTATAATGATCTGTGTGTCATACAGCTTCTGTTTGGCCCTCTAGATTCATACTGCTTTTTGTCCCTACTTGCTCCCAGGGGCTAGTGTCTATAAATTATGTTGATTTCCATATGGGTTCAGACAATGGGAAGCCCCATCAGAAGATCAAAGAGAAACAGGAGAAGGAAGTCAGGATATCTATTTCCCTATGACCCTAGAACAGAAGTCACCCTATTAAGGATGCTGTTTAAGAAACAGCTGTTTAGATGCTCCTTATCTCCCAGTTCTGGAACTGCTCCCAGCCCCTCACCTCTTTAGACCTAGAGTGGTTAACAGCTGGGCTGCTAAGAATCAGAGATACTCTCCTATCCTTGTGGTTCTCCTATACCACCTCTTTGTAAGTTTCTCTGTACATAAAATCTCTTTCAATTATTCTACTTTAAGGGTGCTCTCTCTCTTCTGTTAGGACCCTGATAAAATATATGTTTAGCACAATGGATGTGAAAGGCTCTTCATAACATGTTAATTAGAAAAGAGCTATGCTATAGTTGGTATAATATAGTCCTTAGAACAACTTCTCTCTTACATAACCATATACATATTACACATGCATTTATACGTAAGTCTAAAAGGATGTTTATCAAAATGCCAATGGTGAATATCTCTGGATGGTAGGATTTAAAGGGACTTTATTTTCCTTTTCTCTTTGTATATTTATATACTACTTGAATTGTTTTTAACAAGCACATACTATAGTGATAAACAGAAAAAAATACATATATATTTTTAAATACTATTTCCTTCTCCATTTCTACTACCTTAATTCAGAAGTCCATTACTTCTTTCATTTAATTTATTTATTGACATATAGTTAGTATAAAATATTGTATTGGTTTCAAATATATGACATAGTGATTCAACAGTTATTTACATTATTAAATGCTCACCCCAAAAAGTAGTTACTATCTGTCAACACAGAAGAATGTTACAGAATTGACTGTATTCTCTATGCTGTACTTTCATCTGTCAGTAATTTATATTACAGTAGAGATTTTGTGCCACTTTAATGCCTTCACCTCTTTCACCCATCCACCCCAACGCCTCCCCCATGGTAACCACCAATCACTTCTCAGAGTCTGAGTCTACTGCTGCTGTGTTTACTTTGTTTTGTTTTTAGATTCCACTTACAAGTGAAATCATATGGTATTTGTCTTTCTCTGCCTGGCTTATTTCACTTAACAAAATATCCTCTAGGTCTATCTACGTTGTTTGCAAATGGCAAGAGGTTTTTCTTTCATATGCCCGAATACTATTCCACTGTATATATGGACCACATAGAAGTCCATTAATTCTTTCCAAGATTATTTTAACTTCCCTACTGTAACTAGTCTCTATCTAGTCTTGGCCCCTCCATTACAGCCTCTAAACTTGCATCAAAGTGATTTTTTTTAACTGGCTAAAAAATGATATCATTCTCTTGATCAGACATCTTCAACTGCTCTCAGTGTCACTAGGATAAAATCTACATTCCTCTGTGTGGTACCGTAGGCCCTTCAAAATATGACTTTGTATTTACATATTTGGCCTCCCTCTTGCCAGTTCCCCTCAGCACCCATTATATTTCCAGCATACAATGCACTTCTACCCCCAGGCCTATGAATATGCTGACTCGAATGCCTCCTCTGTGCTTCTCTTGGTCAAGTCCTACTCCTTCTTTCAATTTCAGATTAAAGTCAACCTCTCTCTTCCTAATTCCCCCAGTGCTGGGGTTCTCCTCTGCTCCCACTCCACCTGGCCCACTTGTCTACCACAACAATCATTATGTTGTAGCACTAAAACTATTTTCACTTGTTTCTTCCAACTAGACTATGCTTCCTGAAAGCAGAGACCATGTCTTTTAGTCTCTGCATTCCCAATGCCAAACACAGTAGGCCTTTAAATACTTGTCGGAAAGAAAATCTACTTTTATTTGTATTTTGCTTGTCTAAAGGTTACATTTTTAGAGGACTGATCTATATGGTAATTATGTGCACTAAACTTGTCTGCAGAAAAATTAAGTCAAATAGTGAGGGACTTAAAACTGTACAGTACTGCTGCTGAGGGCATAATTATTAAAACTGCTGCCATTTCTTAAAGACATAAACCTATAATCTGTAAGTCTGAACTAACTTCCAAATGTCTCACTAAGGGCTATACATTTTCTTTTCACATCAGAATAAATGTACATTTCTAATAAGTGAGATACTTCAATCCAAAAACTTAAAAGATATATTCTTTAAGAATTTGAACTAGTAATACTTACCAATACTAGCATGATCAATAATAGTGTCAATATCTTGTAGACCCCATTTTTTATAAGCTAATGGTGGTGGTTGTATGTTCTCATTGCCTGATGCTGCAGCTGTTAAAGACAAAAATTAGATAACTTAAAGTTCCGTCTAACAGATAAAAATTAAGTTTTACCAAAATCACTAAAACTGTAATAACTTGATTTATTACTAAAAATGTCAATAAGGCAAGGTAATGTAAACAAGGCATGAAGTGAAATTTATTCACACGAAGACAATGCACATAAAATGCAAACATTAAAAGAGTAAGTTGGTTACCATAAAAGATTTTGGAACATTCAGGTAATTGTAGAAGAGTATTAAAAACTCCAAACTATACTAGAATTTCAGGTGAATTCAAACTGCAATTGAAGCCAAATAAGCAATTTCTATCCCTTGAGAAAGACAGTGGATTAAAATCCTGGGAACAGCAACCAGTGCCTCACTTGGCGAAAGACTAAAATCCCGGATACGCCTTGCAGGAGCTCGCAGACAGCAGCGTCTCGAAGGCAAGTAACCAAAGCCAGCCTGACAGCAACGTATGTCAACAGCAATAACATTACCAGGGAGAACTAATGAATGCGGATCATTCATGATGGTATTTCCACCCAGTGAGAGAGCAATGAAAGGCTACATATCTTGCTATATATAGGTTCATGCACAAGGTCCCATTGACCAGCAAATTCTCATGCTACATATTAGAATACAGCTGGACTCTGGTTGTTTATTCTGGAAAGTGAAGATTAAGTACTTTAATAAAGGAAAAATATATTCCTCAAAGAACTTCAGGTTTGATAATAAGGCCAAGAAAAGAGAATTGGTCTATATGCTGAAATAAAAGTTACAATTTGTTGCCTAAGGAATCATAATTCTTTTAGAGCAACTTACACTAAGAGGGCACAAGAGGCTTGCTTACTTCCCAGGAGACAAAATGGCTTTATGGTCTTATACGTAACAGAATAAGCAGGAATTCAAAAATAGTAAAAAATTAAATGGCTAACAATGCCAATTATTAGGTAATTGTCTATTCTAGTCTATTTTATTGACAGAAGTCTTACCTACAGAAAATTGCCAGTCTCTTTGGGCATATATGTTAATGGTGACTATTTTAAATGTCCCCAAGATAATGACACTTATTGTGGGCTAAATTTAAGTAATTTAAACAATTACGAAAACAGGAATAAAAATTCAAACAAATTCTGACTTAACAGAAAAGCACGTACTATTAAAGAATGACATAACCAAGACTTCAGGATTTTATTAATCACATCAGCCTGATAAAAGGACAGGGAAATTTCTTCTATGGTAGTATAAACTGCTGCATTTTTTTCCCTAAAAAAAATTGTTTATTTTGTATCCTACGATTTAGTTCTGGACTTATGAATGACCTTTATGAATCGGCAAATACATCTTAACTAACCTGTATTTTCAGGGAGCTGACCATTTAAGATTAAGCTTTGTTCACTTTAGGGCCCTCTACCCAGACGTAGAAGAAAAGGAGGAAGTCAGCTCCAGTACTGGTATTTTCATTGATTTTAAGACTTTTCTTCCCCATATTTTAACAGCTCCAAAGCTGGAATATTAAAATCAATGGCGTGTCTTTCACAGGCAGCATTTATGTTTCTTAGTGGTACATAAAATAATAGTGCATCTTACAATCAATATCCTCCTTAAAGAATGTAAACTAGGGGTAGTAAAAGTAAGAATTCTTGATTATTTGTGCACTTTTCACCTCCAAATCTGGCAACAACAATGTAGTTGCCTATATATACACTATGTGTAGGCCTCCAACTTTTCTCCATTCAGAAGTGCTCCATGTTAATAAAAAGCAGCTGATATTGACTCTCTGTTGGGTCCTGCCTACCAAGGGGAAAATTCCCCCTCATACAATGGTAGCTTTACTTCCAGTGATGATGGAAGCCATTTAGAATATCAAGATTTTGGTATCCTGGCCCAACAGCTGCTGATCTACTGAGAACTTTGGTTCCTCAACTAGATGCAGCTAAGTACCTCATCCCAATGCTGATGGTCAGCACAGCTGCACATCTCTCTCACTGTCCAAGCACATGGCCGAATTAGTGCATAAGGCCTGTTGTTCCTGTGCTGTCACACTCTCCACTGCAGACATGTTCCAGTCCTTGCCTTTACCTTACGAAGCCATCTACCCAACAAAGCACTCCCATTTTAACAGTTGCAGCATTTTTCTGTAAATCTAGGTCAGGGGTTAATTTAGACGACATATTTAATTCTCTGAGTAGGTTGAATTACCTAAGACAAACATCATCAGAAGTTAGATATACCTTGCCAAAAAATTACCTTTTGCTACCTGATTTCGACAAGCACGAAGAGACTGAAAAAGGCTAAATCCATCAATAGTCACAATGGCAGCTGGATATAAGATACTCAACTCTTCATTCTATTAAAAAGAAAAAAAGAATTAAGAAAATAATACATTTTCATCATTGCCAAATATGCCTGTTTTTCTATTATAGGTGAGTGTCATGATTAATGAAAAATAAGAAATACTAAGACCAAACAACTGTCAACCACCCAACACACAAAACACTAGCATGGAACAGAACATAAAAATAAGTGAAAAATTAATTTCAGAATGCCTTTTGGCCAAGGACTTAAGTTCTTCTCAAATACAAGCTTCTGCACATTGTGATGCTTACAAGATAGATAGTGAGATTAGCAAAAAAATGTGTAAGTCTCATAAAGTGAAGTACAGTAATTGTGCAGATACAAACAAGATATAAAAGTAGAAAGGATAAAAAGAAACATCTGAAATCCCAGACATCTTTCAATACATAGCCTCATACATTTTTGTATGAAAGTACAACACATATAGTATTCTATAACATGTTTATAACACAGTATTATGTCAGTGAGATTTTCCCACCTCATTAAGTGAACAAATAATTGTTTTTGTCATGGCTATGCAGTATTGCATTGTATGTACCAAAATTTAGTTAACCAGTTCTTATTGATGGACATTTAATTTGTCCTCCTGCTTCCAACTCCTGTGCTCTACAGTCCAAGCTCCACACAGCTGATGTGATCTTCACGAGACATAGCAGATCAAACCAGTCTCCTTATTAAAATTTGCCAATGACTCCTGCATTTAGAATATAACCTGAACTCTGACCACACCTGCAAGACCTGGCACATACCTCTAATGTCAACCCACCTCTCCCCTTGCTCCCTGAACAGAAAGGTCATCATCACATGCTTCGAATGTGCCTGGACCTTCACCTCCCACATCTTCACTGGACTAATTCTTCTGACGAATCTGGTCTCAGCTCAAAGGTATTCACTCAGAGAGGCTGCTCCTGAGTCTATCGCAAGCAGCATCTCCATTTTCTTGCCTCACTATCTCAACAATGTGATTAACTCCCTCATAACACCCATCAGAGACTGACTGCAAGCGTCTTGGCATCTCTAGTTGCTTACTGTTGGTTTCCCTCCACCATCCCCAAACCGTAAGCTCCACGAAAGTGGGACCCTTGTGTGTCTTGTTCACTAATGAATTCTCAATGGTTAGAACTGGGGTAGACACAGAACAGGCAGCAAAGATTATGAATTAATACATTTTCATTATTATGAACATCACTGTAATAAACATCCTTCTGTACATCTCTTTTCATATTCCTTTAGTGTAAATCACTTCCAGTGACTCTCCTGGTTCATAGAGTAGTCACAATTTTCATTTTCATTCATATTTAAGTGCCCTCAAGAGAGTACCTATTGATTAATAATTCCACTAACAATACATGTAAGTGCCTATTTCTCCATATTGTTACCAACAGTTTTGTTCATCTTGATCTTGGCCAATCTCAGTGGTGAAAATTATCCAAATGTAGCTGCTTACAATTCTTAGATTATTACTAGGGTTCAAAATTTTATCCTGTTTTTTGATCAGTTCTATTACTTTTTTTATTAAATGGTGATTTTTAATAATGTTTTATTGAAATAGTTTATATACAATATTATTGTCAGATGAACTTAGTGAGTGATCAATTATACACATTATTAAATGCTCACAATAAATGTAGTTACCTTGTCACCAAGGAGATTACAATTTTATAAGCTATATTCCTTATGCTATAGTTCCATCCCCATGATAAATTATTTCATAATTTGCAGTTTGTACCTCTTTATCCCCTTCATCTATTTCACCCCTTCCCTACCCCCACCATGGTAACCAACCATCCATTCTGTGTTTATGAGTCTATTTGTGCTTTGTTTTTCTGATTCTATGTACAATTGAAACCATATGGTATTCATCTTTCTATGACTGACTTACTACACTTAGCATAATACCCTCTGGGTACAACAATGTTGTCACAAATGGCAAGATTTCTTTCTTTTTTGTGGCTGAATAATATTCCATTATATACATGTACCACTTCTTTATCCATTCATCTACTGATGGACATTTTGGTTGCTTGCTTCCATATCTTGGCTATTGTCAATTACAATTCTTTTGTGTTGCCTTGCTCTTTTTCCTACTGAATTGTTAGGCTGTTTCCTTTTTTTTTTTTTTTAAACTGTAGTTTGGTAGTTATAAAATTGGGAAGTATGAGTCTTCTAACTTAGTTCTTCTCTTATCAAGATTGTTATGACTATTCTGGGTCCCATGAAATTCCATATAAATTTTATGATTCAGCTTTTTCATTTCTGTAAAAAGGGATGTTGGAATTTCAAAAGTTATTGTAGTGTATCTGTAGATTGCTTTGGGTACTATTGCCGTCCTACCAATATAGCCTTCTACTCCATGAACACAGGATGTTTTCCCACTTATCTAGGTCTTTAATTTCTTTCAGATGTTTTGTAATAGTATACAAATTTTGTACCTCTTGTTTAAATTTATTCATAAGCATTTTATTCCTTTGATGCTGTCAATGGAATGGTTTTCATAACTTCCTTTTTGGTTGTTTATTACTAGTATATTGATATACTACTGTTAATTGTATGTTGACCTGGTATCTTTGCTGAATTCATTTAATAGCTCAAACACTTCTTTATGGAATGTTTAGGATTTTCTATACACAAGATCATGCTATCTATGAGTAAAGGTCATTTCACATTTTATCCAATTTGGTTGCCTCTTATCTCTCTATCTCACCCTGTTTATAACTCCACCCTTGGATATAACTTCAAGTATAATGTTGAATAGAAGTGGGACAGTGGACATAATTATCTTGTTCCTGATCTTTGGAGGAAAGCTTTCTGTCTTTCACCATTAGTATGGTTTTAACTGCAGGGCTATTTCCATTTTTAAAAGAGGGGAGGGCGGTTAGGGTACAAGGAAGCAGGCATGGGTGCTCACATGACAGCTTCACAAGGCTAAATTTGTATGGCTCACTGAGCATGAGAGCGGGAAGAGCGCCACCTATTGATCTGGAGGAGCCAAGAATCAGCAAGCCAGTTTTCTCTAAAACCAGATAGTCTCCCTGAAGAAGATACTAATACAAAGACCAATAGTCCAAAAGCTGTGGAAATTGTGCTGGGTGACAGAGATTTTTGTGCAGAATCCACAGAAGAAGTTTCTTTGATATTCCAGAAGGAGATCGCTCTTTGGAATCTTCTCCTGTAATGACCTACTGTCACCTCTACTATACTCATTTCCTCTCCCCCAAGAACTGAATTAGAGTAAACCTGCTCCCATGCTCTGCGAATACAAATAGACATTTTTTACTGTAAATTGATGTGTTAGCTCCAGAGATGCTTACATATGATACAGACTAACGATGATGTCCCTCTCCACTTTTAATAAGAATTGTTTCAGCTGATTTTCTTGACTCACATAGCAAACAGCAAGCAAGCATTTTAAATATTAGTTGGCTTTTTCCACAAGCTCTTACAAGAGTATTGAGTTAAAGTGTTTAAAGAAACTTCACCCAGAGAATTCACAGAAAAACAGAAAACAACTCTTGAGAAGTATCTTCAATGACACATTATCTTCTGAGATTTACAATAGCTCCTTCTTTGTTCCCTTCAATACTTCTTTTCTCCGATCTCTGATTAATACTAGCAAGACTTAAGTCTTCAGTGTCTGGTTTTATTTCCTATATCCTTTATTGGAAGAATTCATTTCTTATCTATGACTTCAACCATCATCTTCAATCTAGTTTTTGTGCCTAAATAGAGTAGTTCTGTATCATTACAGACATACTGGTATTTTCATTTTATTTCCTATAGTCAACTCTAACTTAACATGCCCAAAATCAAATCAAATTTATTCACCCCCAAAGCAACTTTCTCTTCCAACTCTGTCAATGGCAGTCCCCAGAATGCACATCGTAGTACAAGGATGTATGTCCTTGTTCTAACTGAGCTTCTCTTTCTCCAAGCATGTACTGAGTTTATTGTCATATAAATTACCAATTAATAAGGTGTTGCTTTATATTATGGATTAACTCATCAATAGGTACTAATCTAGTCTCTCTTACTAGAAAGTGTCCATGTTTCATAGCCCCAGTCCATGTATCATACAATTTAAGTCCACAAAGGCACCCACATATACATCTGTTCACTTGAAATCTTTTGGAAGCTGGGTAGTACAAAGGAAGGTATATTTACATAGTTTGACTGTACACTGTGAGCCAAACAAGAGCATATTAAGTGATGTAGCTCTACAGTTATTTTTTGGCCATGAGACAATTAAAATCTCACACAACACCCAGGAAGAAGTGAAAACTACCTTTGGAGACCCTAACATAGTAAACCATATTATTTTCTGTCAAAATCTTCAATGAATATATTTTCTACTTTAAACAAAAACTTAACCTCTTTTTGAGAAATCCCTAAGTACAATGTAGTGGTATTATTAATAAAGGCCAGAACTTTTTTCCTTTATTCTAATTTTGACACCTAAATCCAAATAAAAAAGATTTGAAGTTACATACTACTACATTTTTGCTTTCAGTCACTATTAAATCCTAAAAATAAGAAACCTTTTTGGGCTTCTGACCAAAGTGTTTTATTGTAGAACAAAACACACTATTTCATTAAGTAAAAGTAGGACTGGTACTCTTTATTTAGCTGTAAATACACTATATTTCTAGAATATGACAGGGAGAGCTAACTACAAGACAGATTTCTTTCAGTTTCTACCCAGTAAAGAGGGAATAAACTACTTTAAAGTACAGCCACTGTTACTGTGAATATAATCTTTTACACTACCTGCTCAGTCACGCCAGGATGTCGTGGGATTTCATAGGTTCTGCATTTAAGCTGCAACACTGAATCTTCATTCAAAAGTTGTGCAAGCAAGAGCACACCATTCTAGGAGGAAGCACAGAGAAGAGCCCTGCTTGTTTACTTATCAATATACCTGAACAGGTGTAGCCAGGGAGAGAGTATCATTTCTGCAATAGTCTCCAAGGGAATCCAGGTGCCCTCTTTTCAGAAGAATTCAGCCTCTCTTCTCTACATCTTCTATCATAACTTTCCATCACCATCCTTTTCCCCATCCCGGCTATAAAGTATCAACTGCATTGTCCCAGGCAGCAGGTAATGAGTCACCACTGAGTATAATAGGGATGCATAACTTGGTATTCCAGTCAACCGGTGTTTTCATACTGCTGAACTCACCTCAGTGTAGAAGCGAACATAACCGGAAGTAAAGCCCACCACAATGCAAGTCCAGTCAGGACGTCCAGTAGAACTCCTGTTACAGACAGAATTTATGATCTTAACAGCTCATAAACCAAAGCAAAGATAACAATTAGTTCTTGTTCATCCTTACCTCTTTTGGCTTGCCAGTGGGATACATAGGGCACTGGTTACATATTCCCTAAAAACAAAAACAAAATCGTATGTTCATCTAATGAATTTATCAGTTACTTTTACTTTTACTTCTCTATAATTTAATGTTAGAGGACAATAAGTAACCAATGATCTCTGTGGAGCAGTTTTATTTACTGCATAGGTAAAAATACTGTGCAACATCATAAGTAGGGTTGTAAAGTTCATTCACCTAAAAAGTAATGTCACATTCACTTGACGTTAAAACAAACAGCATTTTTTATTCTATATTGTCATGAAAAGCACAAAAATAAAGAAAACAAAATTTTACTATACTCAGCTGATTATACACAGGACGGAGAAAATATCAAAAGATCATCAAGCAGTTTCCCCTCCTCCACAGCAGCTAAGAACTCGGGCGAAGGATGGGAGGAATTATCAACACAGTACAGGCAAACCACACTTCTTCAGAGCACATCATTCTAGGGGCTTACTACATTTCAACTGGTTAGCTTCTTCTTTTGTATTTTGCAGAAACTGGCCCTGAGAACCTATTTGTAAGCACATGCTAGGCTGGAGGTTCCCTATAAGACTATTTTCTTATGTGTGGACTTGAAAAGTTTGTCAGGAGCTTAGAGGCCAAGCCTCTCTCTCTCTCTCTGTCTCTCTCTCTGTCTCTCTCTCTGTCTCTCTCTCTGTCTCTCTCTCTCACACACACACACACACTCCTACTGACTGTCTTTTCTTTAACTCGTCAAATCTAAGGACCATCACCAGCTTACGCAAGAAACTATAATCATGCTTGCCTTATACATCATGCCAGGTAACTTCAAAATTAAACTTTTTGTTTGTGTGTTGTCTTTAAAGTAATTGAACCATTATGTTTGTTTTGCATTTCTGACAGAAATTGTCTTCAAAATGCTTAAACTAAATGACTTAAGGAGGAATACCATTTATTTTGATGAGTAGAAAATATTTCACTAAGTATCTACAATATGCCAGGCATGTACTATGGGCTTCCGTTGCGTTGTCATGTATCTGAATTCAAAGTCTGAAGAATCTTATTCATTACTGATCAGATAGCTTTTGGTCATAAAATATTTAACTGAAAACAGCTTTTGGCTCCAGGCTCCAGGCTAGCAGCTCCATCATGTGACCAAACTAGAGATCTGATTTTAAAACTCTTAGTGGGTTAGTAGGAAGCTTGAATTTACCAACTTCCATTTCTGAGGTTTTAAAAATTATGAGTTTAAAAAATTAATGTAGCTGTCGCCTTTAAGTTCAAGCCCAGTGCTAGCAAAGCAGAGAAGACAATGACTGCCCGTGACTTTTTGGCTGGATAAAATTAGTAATGGAGAACAGAGGATGCAAAATACAGAAAGCATGAAAAGGGATTATATCTGAGCTCTTCCTTCAATCTTCTCCAAACAAGTTTTTAAAAAAGTAATTACATGATACGTAAAATTAAAATTTGCTGACTGAATCATGCTCTACACCTCTAAGTTAGGGTGAACATATATTTAAAAATATGCCAAATGATGAAAGTTCCCATTTACAAGGCAAACAACTTCACATTTACATTTAACATACAGAAACAAAAAATTGACTGCACCTACCCTTCTTCAACATTTAAAGAACCACTCCAGCTGACAGCAAACTGCATTTCTTCCTTGCCTTTATCACTGTATTTCCATTTTGCTGAAAAAAATTAAGTTATCACATGAAGTAACTTTATAGTATATGAAAACAGTAATTTATAAATTTTACTTTCTTTATAGAATGATGAGTATATTTAATTGTTCTGCATGAATTCACTTGGGTCTTTTTACAGGTAAATATAAAATAATGTTTAAAAAACAGTGAGATTTTTATAAAGCTCTATATAGTCACCTAGTCTTTAGTATCTCCTTCCTTCTATTAAATCTATATAACGTTGCCCTAGTTCTTGGAGAAAAAAGTTATTAATCCTTATGCACCACTCCTTCTATTTTTCTTATAAGACTACTTTTATTTTCAGATGGCAGAGAAAATTTTTCTATTACATTTATGCTATTCGTGGGTAAATCCACTTTATAAAACCACCCACAGTCATTTATTATATGATCTGATTTTGATCAGTGAGGTGTTTTTATATCCTATGTATATTCAAACCTTAATTTTAATCTTCAACAAAAACTGTAAGCTGAAAATTTATTCCCAAAATAGTTAACTACAATACCATGAGTTTTCAAATTATAGTTGAACATTACGTCATTCATATGATTACTAAGGGGTCAGTGGCCTTTTTAGCTCTGGCTGTCCCTTGCAGGAAGTGGGCAATGCCCAGTACTGCCTCACAAGAGCCAGAGAGCTAAACTGTCTGTAGCCAAGAATGAAAAACAGAGAGGGAACAAAAGAGTAGAAAATAAAGAGAAAGAAAAAAGAGAAGAAAAAAAACAATTGGAAAGGAAATAAAAAGTGTCATACAACATATAAAATAAACAGTACACTGCCACCATATAATGCATACAATAGAAATAACATTTTCTCCTTCCACCTAGTAAATTTTCTGTTCTGTTCAATGCACTTCAATGAAGGACACTGAAAATTACAGAGTACTTACGCACTAGAAAAACAGCTTTTTGCTCCCGAGCTATGACCATAACATCATTGGTAGGAGATAAGGATAAGACACAGTCTTGGAGCCAGGACGATTTTTGTGCTTTGGAAGTATTTCCTTCTTCATCCTGTGGGTAAAAACACAGTTATTGTATATACAAAAATATATAGAATATTTCAACTTGGATTGTCTGCCTTGAAGGGCAAAAGGGAAGAAAAAAGGAAAAAGAAATCTCATTTGTTTAAATGTCTCAGTATTGAAGGACATCAAAGATTACCTACAAACATCTGTTTTGAATACTAATACAAAAAGTGTTAATAAATCAAACATAAAGTATATTTATATAAATATAAAGACATTAAAGGAATGTCACACAGGGATCATTCCCAGAATAAGTCACTATTAGTAAATTTGGCAAATAATCCTTTTCCAGAGAGATAGCTAAGGTATCTGCAGCTACAACAGCAAAGAAAAAATTAGCTAATGCTTCTGGTTGTAGGATCTGTAAAACTATCTGATAAATTTGACATCTTTTTCTTTTTATTTGACCTGAAAGGTATTTTAATTTTTAATTGAAAATTAATTTATTATATGGGTAAATCCCTATACTTAAAAATTCAGTAGATCTTAAAAGGTCTTTGAAAAGTCTCTCTCATACTCTTGTACTCTAGCCACCCAGCTGCTCACTCTAAATACGATTATATTACATCATATTATATTATCATTAGGGTTTGATGTGCCATAAAATTCTAAATCTAAAGCTTGAGTCTTGCTGCTTTGAAGTGATAGTAGTTTGTCATGGAAGGCAAGGGTGACGTGCTCTTACCACATTCTCAATAGCTCTCTGACCCACAGTCACACAGGGACATAACTATGCAACCACAAGCTCCTGGTCACATGTTCTCTGTGACTAAGGCATAGTATTCAATATATTAGATTAAAAGCCTCTAATGATAATAACCAAAACATATTCTTAAAATTATAAATGGAGATAAAAATGTGTTGTTTTGCCATAACTAGTTGTTTCTTTATAAGCCTAGTTAGCTATTTCATCCCAAGCAGTGTTTTACTAGAATGGTATGAAGTAAAATTGAAAACCACAGCGAAGGGATGGGAGGCTGGGGGAAGAAATCTTACATAAATCAAATTTCTTTCAACAAATCCTCAGAAAGAAAAATAAGCCATTGGTACATCAGGATAGTACCTGGTGCATTAACAAGAAACACACTATATATACAAAAGCAAACAAACAACAAAAGGATGGAAAAGTACTTCTCCTTAATTGTTTTATATGTCTGCTATTTGCCTAAGCAATTTGATGTATAGAAATCAGACCATAGTAACTTGAAATCTCTTATGATAAGGAACTTGTTTGGCTATTCTGAACAGAGGACAGCAGACCTGCTGAGAAGTGTCGGACCCAGACGTGCCTTTGGATTTGGTGATCCTCAGAGAAATGAGGCAGCAGCGAACTGCTGATCTGGATGTTCACCGCAACATACCCCAGACACTTACAATGTGCTGACACTGTGTTAGGCTCTTTACACATAAATCTAATTCTTACATGAACTTTATAAAGAAGATTGTATTAATACCCCTCTTTTGAGATGGAGAGACAAAGACTTATGATAACTTCTGTCAGGTAACACAGATGGAGCAGGAATCTGCACCCAGGCATTAGGGTTCACCTGCATTTGTAAACCTCTGCTGCTTCCCACTGCACCACCACGGAGGCTGACCCCTGTAAGCAAAGTCTCCCACAGCACCTTTAAATCTCAACTGCTCTTGTGATTTGGGGTAACCTAGTATAATGCCTGCTGCTGTGTGTTCGGAATTAAGGGGGTGATGAGAAGCTCTAATTCACTTCTAGACTGAAAGACTAGTGACCTTCAATTTAAAAGGTAAAAAAAAAAGTGATACGGAATGTGTGAGATCTAACCTAATACAATCCAGCCACATGGTTGATGGCAGCAACCTTTTTAAAAAAATGTTTATTTATTAAGGCATCACTGATATACAATCTTATAAAAGTTTCACATGAGCAACATTGTGGTTATTACATTCACCCATATTACCAAGCCCCCCCTTCATACCCCATTGTAGTCACTGTCCACCAGCATAGTAAGATGCTATATAGTCACTACTTGTCTTCTCTGTGCTATACTGGCAATAATCTTAATAATCTTTTAAGCAAAGGGTTACTATGTATTTCATAGTCTTGTTCAGCTAGTCTCTTTTGAAAGGCAGCCATGATACAGCTCCTCCCCTGTAAACATAACTAAACACTGAATAATTGATTGACATATACAGAGTACTTATCAAATTAAAAAGGTCGTGAATACTGTAACAATTAGTAAGAAACATGGGATCAAGCTTTACAGTCACAGTACTAAAACCTTACTGGGTGGTTTAATCATTACCTCAGGTTTTCCTAACCTCTGCACTACTGACATTTTGGGCTGCACAACTCGTTATTGTGAGGGCTGTTCCGCGCCCTGCAGAACACCTAGCAGCATCCCCGGCCTCTGCCCACCAAATCCCACGGCACTCTCCCAGGTGGGGCAACCACAAACGTCTCTAGACGTGGCCAAGTATGCCTGCAGAGCAAAATGCTCCCAGTTGAGGATCCCCAGTTTAGCTGAATAACAAACATACTGTAAAAAAATCTGTAGTCAACAAATTAACTCAGAATAAGACAGGGGATCAAAAACCCCTGAACTGCTCTCCATATGTAGCTCCAGGAGGAGGCATCCGCCCGGGGAAAGGTCCCTGTGAATTAAAGGCAAGGGCCAGAGGCTGGGAATGAGGGGGTTTATTCTCCCAGCTCAGTCTCTCCTCATCTGCACAGGAGGCTCTCTCAGCTCCCTCCCCACGCACAGCTCAGAACCCGGGCTTCCCAGCTGTCTCTCTGGGGCAGCTCAGAACTCCCTCTCGCACCACTGTCTTCCCCACCTGCCCCTCGCAGTGGGAGGTACTCAGTGGGCAGGTCCCTGGCGACTGCCCAACACCTGACCCGTTAAGTACCAGGAATGGAGGAGAGGGGAGAATAGGCGTTTCCTCTCCACCCTTACCCTGGGCTGGCAGTCCTGTGACTGATCAGCTGCTCTGCCCCCAGGCTCAAAAAATGGACAATGGGTGCTATTCAGGCCAGGTGGGAATCCTGGTCAGAAATACTATTTTCCCAACAGTGTGGGATCAACTACATCCCCCTCACACGTGTCATATTCTCTCTCCACCAGCTGATGGGATTATAGTCTCATGAAGAAATGGAAGGAATGGAGATCATCTGATTCAAACTCCTCACTGTCCAGAAAAAGAAACCAAGGCCAGGAGAGGAAAAGTGGATTGTCACTCATCACATAATGTCACAGACAATACGCATAAAGTGATGTACATTCACATAGTCCTTGGACACCCTTCCTAGCAACTCTGGTTCCTTACCTCGAAAATCAAGGAACTGGGCAAATAATCCAATGAGAGGGAAGAATGAGGAAGCAGCCTGCAGCAAGAGTCCCTGAGGATAACTAGATCCTCGATGGTCTCGTGTCTTTTTCTCTCACTGCTTTAACCCAGCCTGCACAACACTGCCACAGTGACGCACCAGCAGGGCTGCACACCTCTACGTGCCGGCACTGTGTTAGGACAGAAAGACAGGAAAAAAGAGTCCCTGTCCTTCATGCTCTTCCATGCTCCGGGGAAGACGGTGGAGAAGCACATAGTAGTTAGTCAGAGGGGCACCTAGAAGGGCCACCGACCAGACGAGGGTGGGGAGGGTGGGGTGTCAAAAAAAATCCTGATAAGGAAAATATTCAACATAGCCGTCAAGGTCAGCAAACGGCTGTTTCCTCCAGTTGGCAAAGCACTCCCAGCCCCCTCCTCCCCTCCTCCAGGCTCCCCTTTTGCCCTGCACATGCTGAAATGCCACATATCAAAATAATATAAATTGCTCCCCTTGTTTGTGCTCAGGGCTCAGACCTTGGGAGATCACTCCCCTCTGGGCCCGCCAGTGTGAGAATAAAACCTCAGCACTCCAAGACCTCCGGGTGCCACTTGGTTCTTCCGTCAGTGAACCAGTCCAGGTTTTCCAGTATTTCTGGTAACACTCCTACTGGAAACAACTCCTTAGCTAAATCCTATGAAGAGAGTAGAAAGTAACCAGCAATAAAAGGAAGAGGGGAGGAGATGAGAGGAGGCAGGAGACAGGTAGGGGCGGACAAGGAAATATTCCCAGACTAGTCCGTTTCTATTTTTCTAGGAAACCTTGAATTCAACATGGTCAAAGGTCTAGAAGCAAGAGAGTCCAAGTGAGGAGCTACTGCCAAAGCCACGTCCAACAGTGGGAAGGTAAAAGATGACGCTGCGGGCAGGCAGTTGATGACGCACTGTAATACGCTGTGCTGAGCAGCTTACACGTTATCTTGAAGGACACAGGGAAGTCCCTGAAGGATTTTTTGAGCAGTGAAGCTCCAGGTCAGATGTGCTAGCTCACATGCTGTGCTCTCTCTCTCTCTCTCTGAAGTGTCCATATTTTTTAAACTCAAAAAAAACTTCAACAAGTAGCAATAAAAATGACAACATTCCAACTGACTTCAGCCACATCCTCCTCCATGTCTCTCCTTCCTCACCACCCCCCTCAAAACGGAGACAAAAGTTGCCCAAAAGTGCTGTCTTTACAGCCTGGTATGCACTCCAAGTTTTGTTTAAATTCCATTTCATTTCATTATAAGTGCTGATTAAGATACAGTAAATCAATTTCCCCACAAGTCAAGAGACACAGTTTGAGCTACATGGCTCTAAGCCAGGGCTTCTCAACCTCCGCACTGCTGACATTAAGGGCAGGATAATTCTCCACAGTGGGGGGCTGCCCTGTGCATTTTAGCGTGTTTAGCAGCTTCTCTGGTCTCTGCTCACTACGATGCCAGTAGTACCCCAGTGTGACAACAAAGACTGTCAACAGACATCGCCAAACATCCCCTAGGGAGTAAACCGCCCCAACTGAGCACAACTGCTCTAGGCAACAGAAGGAAAAAGCGAGGTAGGAAGATGGGCCAGTGAGCCCCAGTAGAGACTCAGCTGACAGAGGGATGATGCTTACTTAGGGTCTCAATACAGCTCAGTACAGGGCAG